CGGGCTGGGGACGGTACGAGGACTCAGGGGATTGTCAATGTAGCAGTGAAGTTGGAAGGTCCAGCAGTTCCGGCTGCCACTCATGACCAGCTTTCCGACAACACGTGTCAGACTGTGATAGGTATACCGGTGAGGGTAATGCCAGTGTGAGGGAGATGGGTGCTCGTTGGAAAGGCAGAGAATGTGACAAGTGGGGCAGTTGTGGGCAGTGGAGGCGTTGGGCCCAATCGGATGGAGCGGCGGGGCAGGATTATAGGGGATGTATAATGAGATCGAGTGTACTGTATGGATTTTGAATGTTATATAATTGTGGATAGAGGGCATTTAATTGTTTTATCTTAAAGGATGAAAACAAAATATGCTTTGACCCTTTTAAAGTGTGCAATCATTGTTTGTTCTATGATTTTATATTTGTGTTGGTTCCGATTACAAATTAAGGTAGGGTTCTTTTCTTTTTCCCCGAGAGTTGACATGATTGATGACTAGGGTTTGTTCCTCAAAAGTTTTTACCATCTCCATCCAAATATAAAATTTCTTTTCATGAAATTACAAGTGTGATAATTACTTGAATTTGTTTCAAGTAATTGGCCAATGGGAATGAATGATTATATTAATTAGATGAAAATTTGAAATTAAAGGTTCTACCTTTTCTATCAATATATAGTGTTATAGTGATTATATACGGTATGATATTATTAAATAATAATTAAATATAAAAAATTTGATAGTTTTATTCTCTAATTTTACCTTTAAACTTAATATTGAGTTAATTTTTAACACAATCTTTAAGGTCTGAACTCTAATGTTGTTTATGAATTGAAATGTAAGAAATTAATGTAAATACCTCTAAGCTGAATTGAGAAATGTAAATATTTTAGAATGGTTTGGTTCTATATTCCAAGAGATGCTTGGTCTAAACCTTTTTTTCCAAACCAACAATTGGTACCATGAACACCTTTATATAAAAGTATATATTTAATTCTCTATTTCTTCTTTTACATAAAAAAAAGAGTATAAAAAAATGAATCTAAAATCTAATTGGATTTAGAAAAAGGTATTGCCTCATACTAAAAGTTCATTCCATTATTGGAATGACATTAATGGAAGAACAAAAGGAACATGGTATCCCATTGAAGGAAAGAGGGCAGGGAGGGGAGAGGGGGATTTGAGCATTTTTCTATTAAATCTTTGAAATGGTTCATTTTTCTTCTTAAAGACAGTGACGTGACTACTAACTTAAAAAAGAGTTGTGATACATGAATCATCACCCACCTTGTAATCAATATTGGGAGTGTGTTTTCCTTTTACACTAGGAATAATGCACATAACATTTTTCACATTTCACATTACTAGCAATTCCGTGTATACAAGTTTCTAACTAATAAGAAAAAGGGATTGCTGTTATGACAAGTGATTTAATTATTGCTTGCTTGATTGGAATTTTAGGTACAACAATTAGCAATGGAGAACATTAGGTACAGAAAGCTAATAAATTAGGAATCTTTAGCTGGAAGGGGACCATTTTCGTCTAGCTAAGCCATACCAGTTTTCTCTCCACGTATCCATTCATCCGATGCCACATTTCTCTGTTAAAAAGGGTCCATGTATACGCCCCAGTGAAGGCTCCACTATCCATTAAAAACGTACGGATTAATTTCCAACAATATATGTCAATGTGTCAAACCGTCTGAAATGGGGCATCATCAGGTCCTGAGGAAGGATTCACGAAGTTGCATGTAAATCTATACCCTAAATGAACAACAAGATACAATTGCAGTGCTGTATACTGAGAAATATCAGTTCTTTTTATATTATTTGAAGAAGGGCATTCGTCGTGGACCATGCAATTGTTGAAAAATTATTAGTAAATGATTGGGAACATTGAATTGATTGGGAACATTGGGAGGAACTTTCTCCGGTACTCCAATTCAAGAACAAGAAGGAAGAAACCAAAACATTTCCTTCCCTTTCCGACACTTGCATCCCTTTTGGACAGGACATCTTCCACTCAAATGAAAATGGTGAATGGTGTCATTTACCCTCTCTCTCCTTTGTTAAAAAAGGGAAAAGGGTTTATGTTCCTTTATGGTTTGCTGCAAAATTAGTTGGTTGGTATCCGATCAAGATTCTGTGATGAGCAAGTGTGACTATATAATATATATCTTCACTAAAAGTGGAGGTAAAACAGGTGTGACTATCGAAGTCAACAGTGAGTGGTGGCAAATTACTAAAAGGAAACCTTAAGAGAGAGAGGGAGGAAAGTGTAGATCACTGAAAAGTAATGTCAATGTATAATTGAATCTTAGCCTACAAATAATTGAAGCTAATTTTTAAAGTATAAAAATTCTGTTGAGTGACAATTGATGTGGAGACATGGGTTAAGCACAGTTATGTTAAAGTGATGATTAGATATACAATACGTATTTAAAGAGGCAAGAATTGTTTGGTGAAGGATGTTGACATTAAAATGATTAAAATAATTATATAAAATATCTAATTAAAATTATTATATTTATATGCATATATATATATATATATATGTATATATGCATGAAAGGATTTGGGTATGATGGGCTTTTCAAATCAAGCTTTGATAATCAATCCAAGCCTAGTCCATCTAAAAAATAAATATATTCTTGAACTTATCGCTTTGTTTTGAAAATACGTAAACATTAATTATTATTATTATAGTCTACCAAGTTTATATTTAAATATATGCACTATACTATAAGAGTGTCCAAAATATATACTTTTTCCATATTGTATATACTTCATATAAACCTAGTCCACTTCACTCTCTGTCTTCCCCTCGTATAAGGGCACCCAATATTCAACAATATCATAATTAGTCCCTTTGATACGCTAAAGGCCTCAATGCTTAATTGTAATCTAAACTAGTATCAAACCCAAATTCAAAACAAAGATAGATATATAATTAGATTGTTCGAAGCAAATCTCAATGAGTTCTCATTTTTTAAAAAACAGAGAAATTTTTATAACGAATTCAATCATTAGTATGTCAAAATTTTATTTTCAATAAGATAATTCATGATAAATTTGATATCATTTACTATCTCTTTTATTTTTGATAAATGTAAAATATTTACTGCTCGCTTCACATCATTTACCTTGTTCGTTTTGATAATTCACATCATCTATTATCTATGTAATTAAGCTTATGGAAAGAGGTAAATTTTACTAATATATATGAATAAGACAATCTAAAATGAAATGAAAAATGATTTTAATAATGCAGTAATAAATAAAAGAAAAAACAACTAACTCAATATTGTTATTTTATTCTATCTTCTTATCCATGACCTGTTATAAGTGCGAACAAGCAATCATATTTAATATGACCTGTAGAGTCAACATTGACACGACTCTAGAAATCTTTAAAGAAAGTTTTTGTGGTTTCAGTGTGATGTTGGTAGCTGCATTGGTTCGAAACATCAGAGGTATACTATATCGTGTCAATGAAATTAACTTGGCTACCCATCTCCATCTACGAAATTAAATCCATTGTTTCTAGGCTTGCAAAAAAGAATATGACAACCCCTTTTGACATTAACCAAACAATTCCCATATCCAAGTTTTGGCGTTCTTTGGTTTGCTAACAATGACCACAAAGAAGAGAAAAAACGGTCATAAAAGTTTTTTCTCAGCATTGACAATTCGGTTGTGAATGTGTCATTAAGCCCTTTGCTAGGACTTATCATTGGGGTTTTCCTAATATGATTTTGCGTTCGTGGACTCTTCTTAAGGCGTTTGCTTAACCTTTGGATCATATCGTAGTGGTTAGTCTAATTCACTCATTTGTGTACCTCTCTCGACTTCTCTAAGCTAAATCTCTTGCCTCTGAAACGTCCATGGCTAGCAATTACCCACAGTTCGTAGCGGAGATCACGGTCTTGTCAGCAGAGAATCTCAAGAAACCTTCTTTCGCTCTCTTGTCCCGACGTTTAAGACCCATCATCTCCTTCTCCATCTCCAAGTTGAACGGCAACAACCCACGGGCTGATTACAAAACTGATGCTCTCACATCAGGTGACAAGTTTCTTGTACCGATAGAGGCCAACTTCTTTGCCAGTAGATGCTCTCGCATACATCTCCAACTACACACCAAAATGCTCCTTGGCCGCCAAGCTCAACTGGGATGGTGTCGGATCGGCGCTGATGATATTGGGGCGCCGCCAGTGGGCTCAGTCCGGTATCTGAGCTACAGGCTACGGTCTAAAGATGGTACAAAGTGTAATGGTATTGTTAACCTTAAGCTCAAGTTGGACAGTTATGGTTGCCCAGCGAACTCACGTCAGGAGGTGTTGCCACCAAGCAATTACGCCCACAGAATCAACTGGCCGGACGAGAGTTGATCGTTGATCACTCCGCCCACAGTTGCTTAATGTTTATAGTAGTTTCTAGCAAAATTCATGTCAGGGTTCAATCTTGTTTCATGCGGCTATCTCGTTCTCAAACTTTCTTTTTCTTTCACTTTCATTCTTCTTCACTAGAACCACCAACATCCGCTTTATAATTTGTTTGTAGGAAAGCGACATTAATGCTGAAAATACTAGTGGTACAGCAAGCTAAATGAATATGATAAACATCGTCTTGTTAGAAAGGCCATGTATTAAATTCCAAAGAAATACTAAGTGCGACACGTTAATCATCTGTTCCTTTCAGAAGAAACTAGAAGTGAAATGCTGAGCAGATAACTTCCATTCAGTGGGCATCATGTCACTGAAATATGCACCCCAAAAAGGGTTCCATGCTTTCTTAAGTTTTCTGTGTTAAAAAAGAAAGCCAAATGATAACCTAAGATGAAATTCTTCGTACACTTTTAAGAGTAGAGGGTAATTGAGATGGATTCAAGTCAAGCTATCACATCGTCAGGTAAACTGCTTAACTATTTCAAAACACAAACTTAAGATTCTCACTCCCTTCCAACAATTGCTTAATATGTAAGTCAACTGCATTGATCCATGCCGTTTATCAAGAAGGGGGGGTAAAATATTAAAAAAAAAAAAACAGGAAATGAACATTTGTTTCCAATTTAATCACTATTAAAACAAAACATGATACCTAGTTATCAGGGGCCTCTTAGTGTTCTGAATTTGTCTGGGTAGATTTACATGAATTTGTGCCGACAGCATTACATTCTCAGGCCAGTTGTTTACATGTGGCCTAACTAATGTTACCTTTTACTTGTATCGAACCACAAAAAAAATTGGATTTTGAGGACTAACTTGTTACCAAGCACAAGGAAACAGCTACAAAATGCTCTATTGAAATTTGAGGAAGACTTATGAAAGCATTTATAAAAACACCAGTCTGAAGCTACATTACCTTGCCACATTTCGGATTTCGTTTGTTGCGCCTTGAAGTTTCTTCTTCATTGACTTTAAACCACTTTGGCCTTTCTTGGTCCAGTGAATCGAGGTGCTTCGCTTTAGAACATCTGATATAAGAGGTGATCTCGAGGTTGAATCCCTTGATGCAGCATCATCATAATCTAGTCAAAAGTTGAACAGTTGAAATTTCAGTAGCTGAAACTTGCATTGATAACCAGGAAATAATCAGCACTTCCAACTCTCAGAATGTAAATTATTTCAAGATACCCTTGGGTAAGGTTTCCAGCTAAAGTTTGATGATAATCATATACTGCTTAAATTTCTAAACATCAACTGAGCAGATATTTAGGCCTCATTTCTTGACCAAAGTAAAGAAAAGAACAGAAAAATTCCTCCCTTTCCCTTTAACCAAACCTGTGATATTTCAGATTACTTCTTGATCAAAATAAGCCCAAGCAAGAAACGCTGGGATCATAACAATGGACTGCTTTGACTTACCATTAATTAATAAAAGTAGCCTGATAAAGTATGCAATCTTAAATGACAAGCATCACTCTGTTTCTTGCATAGCCTTTTCTTTTAATTCATTAATAGTTCTGAAATAAATTGTTCATATATTTGTTCGAACAACCGAATAGGATCAAATAATCATTTAGCATGTAAAAGACAAGCACTGATACTTTTTGCAACCACATTGCATAGAAGCTATCACCTGAAGACAGTGGTAGCTGATATTGCACTTTCAAGAACTTTGATGCCTCCCTGTCTTTCTTGTGGCATAATACTCGTACTAAAGTGTGAGCATCTCCCAAATGCAAATGGTCATGTTTGTTTGAATCTAGTCCCATTGAAATGAGCTCACTTGCAGTCATCAGCATTTGAATAACAGTTTCAGTCTGCCAAAATGCAATGATTAAGCTGCTATACTAATGATTCACTTATAGATAAGAGACCCTCAAGTATGAGCTAGAAAACCTGAAGAGAAAACATTTGAAGAATGCGTTCGGCAAATTTTGCTTCCTGTTCAACTAATGAGCGAGGAAGGCCCTCTCCATCAGCAATGAAGAATTCCTAGAGCAAATCAACACAGATCTATCAACTAGCAAAACATATCATAAAGATGACAACATCCTGAATACATGCAGCAAGTTTTGTGGAAAAGTTTGTTGGGTATTAACTATGGATGTTACTGACCATCAACTGCATATGCAGATGGTCACACAAGTCTTTCTGACCATTGGCTTCAAAAAAGCACATGGTCACCAACTTTCAGTGAAAGGTTAAGTACAAATACGATCAGCACCTATCTTTTTGCAGGAACCTGTTAACTGACATAGCTAGAAAGATCACCCTTACTCAACATTTCCAGCCAAGACATAATTCTAGGTCAGTAAGCAAGTAAAATCATAGCCACTGCCTCTTGTTTTACTATACCATAAAATGTGAGGAGACCATTTGAATAATGGCTATAGTCATTTTTTTCATTATTCAGGAAACAATTACTAAATATCATTCAGAAGAGATCCTATCATCTTGTTTACTTCAGGTGGGAAGATGGTGGGGTGGTGTCTTGCAGCTTTACAACAAAAAAACACAAACCTTCAGCATCACAAGGTCTTCTTCCATAAGGATGATATCTGAATCAGAAAAGGCACGGCAAGGGCCTCCATCAAGCAATACCCAAACAAATCCTTCCTGAATCATGAAAAGTAAACAAAATTAATACCACCAAACACAGGGCCCTAACAGATCAAAAGAGAAGCGAACACACAAGGGCATACCAATGAAGCCTGATATACACTTAAACCAAAAGTCTCTGACAGAATCATCAATCAAACACATACATTGTCCAGCACCTGCATTCAAGCTAGCCAATATTAACACAATATATCTTAACAGGGGTAATGAAAATTAAAACTAATGGAAGTGCCATAAAAAAGAAATTGTAAACAGACATACCAACACGCATAGGTGCTCAGCAGAGAGAGAGAGAGAAGGGGGGGGGGGGGGGGGGGGAAGCCGTCTACTTTAGAGTCTCACCGTGTCAAAGTCGGTAAGGAAATTTTCCAAGCGAGCACTTTCAACATTGCCACGATATAAATGGAACAGGAACACGTCTCTAAGATCCCAAAACACAACTCTTGTTCCTAGATGTTGAGATTAATAATAACAGTATTATGCATAAAATTATCTCAGTAGCTTACATGCCAAAGCAAAGAAGAAAAGGGTGAATAAACATCTTTTGGACGCTATATAGTTGATAAGGTTCTTTGTAGCAATAATAGATTTAGTATGCTAAAAGAGTGTGTTACCCGCTACACTAATGCCATAGTTCAGCAAAGATGTATTTTCCAAAAAGGAAAAAAATCAAAATAAATATAAATGATTTTTTAATGACAATCATTATATAATGAGACCTAATTGGTTTCAGTTAACAGATCTTTTATAGTTGAAGGTTCCTGCAAAATAAATAGACTTCAAAGCTAAGTTTGATCTCTGTCAAACTAAGAATTAAGTTTAAGATAAAGATAAAAAAATAGTTAGATTAGAACATAAATAGAATACTTAAACTCATATTTACAGCCCTTAAATGAAAATTCAACTGGCTCACCAATCAAGTCACAAATCTTTCTGCCAGTATCTTTAGCAGTATCCCTTATGATGTTAAAGGTGGTTACAAAGAGTTCATCTACTGCTTCATGATGTGTTAGTGAATCACTCTCCAAAATCTCCACAGGCTCTTCTTTAGCTGGATGAAACAAAGAAGACTATCAAAGTTATAGTAATCAACTTCACTACTTCAATTATCATTGGATATAACCAGCAAAAAGTGGAAAAAGGAGGGAATAAAAGAAATAAAAGATCCTTTTATTTTGGATATAACCAGCAAAAAGTGGAAAAAGTTCTTCATATCATCATTACGCAACAATCGCCTAGAATGTCCTTGAAAATCTCAACTGCAAAGTTTCTTTTCCCTTCAAAAGGAAAGTTTGTGCTGAATATGACAACTACTGTTAATGCTATTTCAAACTAGTCCCATAGTCCATCTCGTATAATTGATCATTCATCTAAATAGCCAAAACTAGTGCTATTAATTATTTAAACCATATCCATAATGGTGTGGTTCTCAAAAATCTTTTGACATATCTTCACCCAACTTTACCTAGTAAATACTTCTTATTGTTTGTACTATAGCTTCTACAGCTCATAGATGTCACTAGAGGAAATTAAAGGAAAAATAAACTAAACAAGATCTATACATATAGAACTTACCCTGTCCTTGATTAAGAGATGGCCTCACAAGTGCCCAAGAGTTTCGAATGCCATCTTCAAGTAGGCCAACCTGTTTCTGAATATACTGCATGGAAACAAGAAAAATGATGCAGGCATAAGTTTTGACAATGTACCGATAAGGTTAAATTGTGATACCAAGGCTATAGATATATCATTAAAAAAATACAAACTATTATCGAAAATAAAAGCCAGCAATACAGAAAAACATTGAGGAGAGATTAAAAATAATTATCTCAAGTAATAACACAGTTAAAGGCCCATTTTGGAATTCTCAAACTGTCAATCTAGTTATAAACCAGCCTTTAAGTATTGCATAGTCCAAATTTGAACGAGTTCTAAACCAAATCTTTTAAATTGTGTAACCAATTTGGTAGAAGAAAATCATGCAACTGGCTAATCTGGAGGTTTACAAACAAAAACGAATGTTTCAGACAAAAAAAATAAGTAAAAAAATTGAGTTATCCAAAAATGTTAGAATATCACCAGGACTAAATCAACACCTAATAGGTATGAGAATAAATACAACTGAAAACAAGTTACATCAAATACAAAAATTCTTTGAAGACAGGAAAGTAAGTTGGGTACGTTATGTATTGGTCAAATCGATCTCTAGCCTAACCTGAAAACCAGGTACCCAGATAACCTGATGATGAAATGATGGTTATTAGATTCCATTCAGCTTGAAATTTCTTGACCTGACTCAATGTAGGGTTAGTTCATACTAGATAAATTGAAATGGCAGGTCTTAGGTTGCATTCAGCTTGTAATTTCTGGACCTGAACTCAATGCAGGTTTAGCTCAGACTTCGAATTGTGGAAAGTCCACCTTGCTGTGGAAGAAATAGAATTTCAACTTTTATCTTGATGTGTTAAATTCTGTATGTTCTTAAAAACTTGAAACATATAAATTCCATAATCCCTAAGGATAATTTCTCCAACAAAGAGATGGCACCCTTATTTTGTTTGTTTGTATCAAAATGCATTATAAGATCTAACTATTAAAGCTTTTAACGGTGGTTATGCTTACCTGAAGGGTGTTCAGCCGGATACAGAGTTTAGGTATTGTCAATTCATTCAATCTATCAAGCACATTGTCTTCTAAAACTGTGTACTCATTCAACCTTTTCTTAATTATAGGAATAACTGTCTCAGTGTAACGAGTCAAAGGAGGGGCTGATGGATAGAGATGATTCTTCTCAACTGCAATATTAAACGTATTATCATCAATATGTTCTCTCTACATAAAATAAGGTAAACATGCGCATATTGACTTGAATGAACTTACAGAATACAGAAAAAGCAAAAACATTAAGGTTCTTCATTAATTGCTTAAACAATAATCTTGAAAGGGCATACAGAAGAACTCCATCATGTTAAAAACAAAACATAAGTAAATAAATGAAGAACAATCTTCCTACATAGCTACCATTAGCCATTTAATTAGACCAAAAGAATTAGCTAGATCTTAAAAGAAATATCAAGGATTTCAAAGAGAATGTAACTACCCCTTTGAGCATAGAGAGGTCCTGCTTTTAGCTAATAACAGTTAGAAATCACCATCAACAAGATAATTGCATTAACAATGCCCAACTTTTCCAAGCACAATGAAATGAGCAAAAGTAGGAAGCAAAATATAACAAATACCTAACTGGTTGAGCACTCTTGACAAATACCCATCCAAGCTGTGAAATACTATAGATAGAAGGGCTTGTAAATGTGTGATATCCAGAGGGAGATTCATCCCAAAAAGTTGATCCACAGTCTGAAAGTTAACACAGTTATGAGAGAGAAGCAACAAAAGAGACCACAACCAAAAATGTCACTACGCAAATATGATCCAACTATTGCCATTTAAATATAAAATAATAGAATGCAAATACACAAAAAGGAACAACTACACAGTTATTAGTATCTTCCCGAGTGGAAGTTGTTTTACGTTTTCTATTTAATAGTTGTATAAGTTAGTAAGAGTGAAGATTCCCGAGGCAAGGGAATGAGACGACAAAGAGCAACTTATAGAGATGGAAATTCCCATGTCTATAAATCACACAAGAGAGTTGCTGCATATCTAACCAGAAATGGCATACCTCCTCTAGTATCCTAAAAACTTCAATTATCGATGCTGCCTGCCTTTGATGAAATGACAACGGCTCCCAGTCCTGCACATGCCAAAAGACCAGAAGTAGTTCAAATGTTGTTCCAGGCTTCCAGTTGTTTTAATTTGAATCAACTCATGATGATTGTCTATTAATGGGACTAAGACAGGATGTTAAAACATGTTTTCATTGAACATCATCAAATCCAATCAAACATCCAAAAAAAATCTTCCTTACAATTTCCCTAGCTCTGCTCAAATAGGCAGGTAAGTTTTGTCATCTTGATCAGTCACTCATCGATGAAAGAAGCTCATGAGAAAAGAACCAAAATATATGCAACCACACCACAACTTTTGGAGGGAGTAAGAATGGAAGCACAGTGAAAGGGAAATAGAAAACAGATGACATTTTGTTTGTGCGTGTGTGTGCATGCATGAAAAAGCCGACTGCTGACAAAGAAAACAGAAAAGAAAAAACGATACAACAATATCAAAGACACAACAAACAAGAGTTAGAGACTAAGGAAAAAACAAGTTCTTTAGTACATCAAATGTTTCATTTTCTCATCTTTCTCTTAGCAATTCCTAACCCAGAAAAGGTACAACATTATACAGTCTCAATACAAATTGATACCATCCTACTAACCAGCAAAAGAACAAATTAAAAACATCATCCTACTCAGTCTGGAACCAACCTCAAGATCCAATACTCTTCCAGTCCATTCCAATATATGAGCATGCTGACCAATCACCCAATCAAGAATTATTGGCCCCGCGACTTTTTCAATCTGTAACACAAGGAAAATTAAAATTTAATTCTCCAGCTAGGCATCACGTCATTAGCTAAAGCCTTATAGGAAAAGCACTTTTTTCTGAAATGTTTGGCTCCAATTCCGTGTGGAACTTTTTCCAGCCTGAACAATACCATTACCCATGCTATTACTTACATTGACCTAAACAATGTTAAATTAACAAAGAAAATCAAATCCAAGACCATCAAAGCCCTGAATCAAAAACTTCTTTGATCACCAGAAGTTCAAAACAGCAAGCGAACCAATACCAACAAGCAAAAACATGTATAGGAAAAGCACTTGTTTTTCTAAAATGTTTGGCTCCTAAACATTTCCATGTGGAACCTTTTCCAGCCTGAACAATACCATTACCCATGCCATTACTTACATTGACCTAAACAATGCTAAATTAACAAGAATCACATCCAAGACCATTAAAGCCAGAATCAAAAACTTCTTTGATCACCAGAAGTTCAAAACAGCAAGTGAACCAATACCAATAAGCAAAAACATGCCCATATATTGTACATAATCTCTGATCCCCCCCCCCCCCCTCCTATTCACTGCTCACGTCATTCTAGAAAAAGACCTATAAAGCTGCTTATGACATAATATGGATCATCCTATATAAGATCCACAGCCACTCAGAAATGTAGAATGTTCAAAATATCAGAATCCTGAGTTTAGGAAGCACTAATCCTTAGAGAAAAATGATTGCTTCTCCATTAGAAAGAAAAACAAAATTGTAATCTACAAATCATGAACAAAAAAATATGGCAGAAAAAAATCAATATGGCAGGAAGAAAAAGACAGAAGAACTGAAAAAACACATACAGTTAAATGACAGCAGACATATAGGACAACAAACATGATTCAAAGCACTTAAAACTTGATAGGCAACACAGTATCAAAAAATGCAAAACAACCTGATAATGGTCCAAATATGGCCTGACAGAGTGGTGCGCTGTCTGTTCCTCAAAAGCAGAAGTATAAAGCTGGCCAAGTTTCTGATCCAGCATAAAAGCAGCAGGAAGTACTGATCTAGCCTCTCAGATAGAGATGAAACTCCCTTCAGGAATGGAATCTACACATCGACAAGAATAATTTCCAATAAAGATACAACCTACTAATTGACAACTACAAAGAGATTCTGTTAATTTCAATGGAACAAACCAGTCGTTGCCCATAAACACGGTGCAACTGCTGCATTGAGATCATTATAGATTCAGGAGACCATTGGCGAAACACTGGGAAAAATATATTCATCTCCCTCTCAGCAACCAGTCTTAATTGGTTTGCTAGTAGAGCCAAAGGATGTGTCTTTTCAATTTTAGATTCAAGAATGGATTTTGCCACCTAACAACATAATTCAATTAACTATCAATAAAGAAAGGGGAAAAAAAACAATATGACCTTGGATTATAAAAGAGACTCACCCGCCCAATCGCAGCTTCAACAGATCTCTCCACATAATTTTTAATTTTTTCACCAGAAGAACTCTTTGATCCATTCATAGTTAACTGCATGGAGGAAAATTGTCATTAGATATACATAAGGTCTGTCACCAAAATGGGATAAGACTTTCACTTGCTAATAAGTGTAGAAAGTGCACACCAAATCATCCAACTGAAAAGTGCTCAGCCATAAGAAAAACACAGGTTCATGACATGAGTTTGGTTAAAATTGCCCACTTACAAGGGAGGGGGGCGACACTAAAATGAAACGGGATGAAAACTATGATGGAAACAAGTCAAGACATCACCAATTTGATCCTCCAAACCAATATGGCCTCAGCAATAAGAAAATAGTATCATTAGTTTGTTGACTTACTGCACAATGAACCAAGTGAAGCTGCACTCAAACTTAGAAATTTAACTAGCAAAGCTCAAGCCATTGGTAATAAGCTCATATTTAACTTGAGTTTAGCTCAAACTTTAAATTTATGTCAATCTGAGCTTCAGTTTTTTTCCAGTCCAAACTTTTAAAAACTTATTGGGTTATTAATAACATGGTTTGTTAAACAACCAAATATGCATATGACAGAGTAACATCACGGCAGACTTAACCTTAATCTCAGCACAATTGACAGAAGTGAGCATTCCTATCGCTGACGCCAAAGCCATCACTCTTCTGAAGTTAACAGGTTTCTGGGAAAAAATGTTCAAAGTTAAGGGGGAAAAACCTCTGAAATTATGAGCTCATTTTAAAAGATGATATTGAAAGAACCCCCAAGCAGGTACCTGGAATTTTCACACATAATCAGCAACAAAAAAACACATAAAATAAATGTACAATTATTTAACAAACTGGAGTGTTGGCAAATAGAACCAAGGAAAGATTACATGCAATTTATTAGCCAATTCATATGGCAGAAAAATAAAGTGTAACCCAACCAACCTAAACTAGCAACTTACCTCACTGAAATGTAGATGATAGTCTTGTAGTCTACTATCACACCAAGTGCCTATGGACAGGAAAATAGCCTGCACCAGATTTAGGTTTGTTTCACTGCCATTGCATTTCTTCAAACATATTATACTATGCATATATTGCCCTTCATTCCAGTCATCTTCTTCAGCAGATACAACTCTCTGCAACGGGAAAACAGCATGCTCCAACAGAGTGCCTTCATCTGTGCCAGCAAACTTCAACAACAAAAGTAGCATTATACCAATGGTCAAAAGCTCATACCAAACGATATTTTAATATGGTTTCCAAGCATAACTAGGTTCGTAATTAAAGCGATGAGTGAAATGCATATAATTTATATGGTCCAGACACAACCACAAAAAGGAATTTTGAAATTTCATCTTTTGCACAAGAAAACAAAAAAAAATACAAATTATTCCTTTCACAATATGATGACTGAAGAATGTAGTTATGCAACAAAAAACAGAAACATTACAATGACATAAGACATACCTGTTGAAGAAGGACCCACCCATATAAAGCATTATGCATTTTCTGAGTGATGCCTAAAGTGGACCATGTCAGTTTGATAAGCGACTGAATTGCATCAGCTTCCTAGCATAATTTTAAAAGTAACAAACTAAGCATCATAAAAAGCACGAATACTAGACAATATCACCAAAGTTGTGCAAACGAAAAATCAAGCCAACAATGCAACTAAGGGTCTAAGGTGGTACCTCTATGAGTTGGCCTTCATCAAGAATGTCGAACATGACATAAAGTAATTTCTCATAAAGTCTAATGTTCAAATGATAAACAGCATGCCAGTAATAGGTTTCATTTTGGAGACCAAACAGCCCCTGCTGAGAGGAAACTTTTGATGCCACCTGTCTAATAAATGATATAACCTCGACTCGTTGAGAAGGAGACATTGCAACATCCCATTCCTAGAGCATCCGATGAACAAGAACATCCTCATTTCAAAATAATAAATAGGCGATAATGACAATTGAGGCTATTTCACTGATACATCAAAATAATTGTCCATGAATATCAAAAACCCACAAAGAAAACATACCTTTGTATCTCTAATCTTTGCAAGACAACTTTTAATGGTTAAACGTTCAGTTTCTGGAAGTTTAGCAGAGAAGTAGAGAAGTTCTTCTAACATATTCACCTAAAATAATAATAAAACAGCACAGTCAGTCCTATGCTGAAACTCTTCCATTTTTCACTCTTTGTAGATTTTAATAACTAGCCAACATTTAGGCTCAACATAAATGAACACAAACATACCTATTTCACATTTTGCAGCATCATTTTGGTAGATATAACTCAAATATACCATATAATAGCCCTAATGCTTCGCTAGGAAAGTACTTTAGGCTTAATCGCTTTTTATTGGAATACATTTTGATATCACCAACGTTGCCCAATGCACCATGATTTCAACGAGGTGATCCAAATAGCACATCCATAAGCCAGCACTGTTATTGGTGCCTCGATATGTTTAGCTTTCCAAATACATTATTTAAGTAGCATTGACTTATGTTCTTAGCTCCAACTACAAGCATATTTAGTTTCTATTGGGAAAAGACTGGTACGAAACAGTACATAAAGCTGATAATTACCTGTCTACTCTTCCATTGGATATAAGACTTTTCATTAAGAAAATCAGATCTGAAAATGCCAATAAGGAGCTCTAACGAGATCTGAGGAAGATCAATTTGCCCACATGTTCTTCTTGCAGCCAGATGTACCATATTTCGCCGAATGCATCCATCCATTGCTTCTGAAATCTAGTAAAGGAGCAATATTTACTTGTAAGATTTAATTAGCAATGCAAGAAAGATAAAATGATTAACAGTTGAGACAAAATAGCATGGTTAATTTGTAATTGACTAATAAAAGCTACTAATAATTGTCAAATAAAATATCTGAATAAAAATAAGAATCCTCATATTTTTCCTTATTCAATATTTAAGGTACCATTATTTACTCAAGATGACAGTTACTTCAATGGATGATAACTACAGTTCAAGAGTTAGAAATTCAAATGTTTTTACCAGCATGAACTCTATAATTACTAATGTGATTAACCCATGATTATAAACAGACAAAGATCAAGTCTTAACACCCACAGTCAACATTACATATACCAGATAAAGAAAGTTTTTGCAAGACGGGATAGTCCATTGAAAATGGATACTAACAATAACTTAGAAACTTTACTGTATTTTCTCAAACTCCCATACCTATATTCATAAGATATCAAAGCTACACCAGAAAAGAAAAGATTTATAGCTTGCCTGCATCTGTGCACGGATAGTATCAATAAGTTCTGATTGTCTCCCAGACAATTGAGGTTGCAAATGGGGTTTTTCCCTTTTACTCTTTAATCTAGACAAAAATTTAGAACTCTTATCCTTCTTTCTATCCTCAACTGGACAAACTTCAACCCTGATAACAACAAACAAGAGATAGAGACGGTAAGCAGACATCAAATAAAGAGGCAGAAATATTAGGATATATATCATTGGATTTCATTGAATTTACTAAACTAACTCACATTCACGCACACAGACAGAGAAAGGAAGACAGTACCCAGAGAAAAGCATAGATGCAAGCAATAACTCGTAGGCTGATTCCCGCAAATCATCATCGGACAATCCTTCAAAATTCCTGAAGCTATGTATCAGTTTATTCAAACAAGAAAGGACAGGACTCAAGAATAAAATATAGCCTCTAAGTATCTCTACCACATCGTGGGTATAAGTAAATACATGATAGGAAATAAAAACTTAGACAAATTTCCCACAATTGTTTTAAAAGTCTCAAATTAAATTGTTAAGCACACAAGAAATACAAGTTTATCCAATCAATACCTGTTTTCAAGGGGGGTAACCCAAGAGAAGGAATTCCAGAATTCCCTAAAGGTGCCCTTTCTACTGCTGTTTCTGCTTTGTGTTTCAAACCATAGTCATCCCCAGACATTTCAACATTCTTAAACTTGGAAGAATCAAGCTCACTAGATGAAGATGAAGCATGATTATTAGTTCTGCTGACGATAGTTGGAGGCACTCGTCGAGGAGGAGATCCAGCCAAATCTGGATCAGAAGTAAGAAAATACGAATCCCCTAATTTAGAATGGATCTGCAATTTAAGAACCAAAGACATAAAAAAAATAGCAATAATAGTAAAACACAGTTTCAGTCATTCAAGATTAATGTTTCAGAAACACAAGGACAGAGATATCCCCAATAATTTATAGCTTATTTTTCGTTCAGTGCACGATACCCTGCATCAAAGATCAAACTCAGTGTTTTCTAGACTCTAATGCCACAAGTTACACAATGAAACATAGAACTTCAAAATTATAACTCTAGTTTTTGTCTCCCTCTTGTTCCATGATTAAAGAAAACTATAGATAAGAATTAGCTTTAAGAACTCCTCATTCCTAATAATAGTTATACTTTTCGAAAACCTAATCTCGTATTACTCGGCAACTAACAAAGGAAATAAAAAGTATATACAAATTCATTCAAAGGCGTAGCAATAGTAAAAGACTTAAAATCCTAGTGCATTTTTGCAGGAGATAAAGTGGTTCAGTACCATTATTGGATGAGTAGATTCCGCATAGTACTTCTTAGTGGCTTCAGAAACATCGACGATGCCACCTGCAAATATTTCAGTATCCAAACACTCCTTTACTCTCAGAGAAAAAAGAAACATAAGAAACGTGACGGATATTAACAAAAATAATTCTACAAAATTTCAAAATACATTTTCCAGCTGAATTCCTTCTTTATTTTTCTTTCTGATTCCATTTTCTCGATAAATAAACGCGACGTAAAGGGAGACACACCGGATTTAATGCAGTGAAGGATGTAATCGGCACTGAGGGTGTCGAAGTCCGCGTCGGAGAGAGAAGGAGTGGAGCCAGACGGTGTCAGAACTTCCTTTATCAAACCGGAAGAAAACAAGAACTCCAAGAGCCTCCGGCGATCGCGACGGTAACATTGCAACAGAGAGTCCTGTTCCATCTCTCCGTCCGGTTACACAAACACAAGTACAACAAATCACAAATACAAGTTCATGTGTTATGGACTTAATTTTGAATTTTCAGATGCTAAAAAGAAAGCAGAAGCACAGGAGGCGTTTGCACTGAGGGAAATTTGTTTTTTCTTTTTCCTTTCCACTTTGGAGGGTGGAATCAAGAAATATGGTTTCATTACACAAGAAAATGTCTATTTCGGGGAGCGCGAAAAGCCCACTCCAAAAAGACAATATAGATGGCGGAGATTTTATCTTTTCCAGCCTTTTGTCTTCCATATTTTGCTTATTTCTACTTCCGCCATATGTATTTTGGGTATTTCATTTTCAGCCGACCCACCTTTTTATTTTTGTCCGTTGTTTATTAATTGTATGTTTGAATTATTAAATAAATTAAAAAGAAAAGAAGACCTACGCTGCCTAACACAAAGGAAAAGAAAATTTTGATAGGCTTTGTAACTTTCACAAAGAGGTGGCCGTCGAAGTCATCTGTGTTTCTCAATTATAAATTCCGAGAATCCATGGGGTTACTTCTGAAGACGTGTTATTCAAGAAACATGTTCATGTCGATGTCGTCAGGACACACTACAAACAGTCCTGACCGCATAGAAAACGACGGATCTTTAGATACCCAGATTTGAAGGAACACGGAAATGGAAAGGAAATCATCTCAATAGCCATGAAACTCAACCCCCATGCACTTAGGGATAGGAAGCTGATTTTCCCCCACGCAAAATACTGCTACATATGGTGGACATCATTCAGGCAGAAGCATTTCTTAACATTACGCACTTGGTAAATAACACCTCTTGCACTTGTTCAAGATGGTTTCACCTAAAACACTTTACAAATGAAATTCAAAATACAGAATGAAAACCTTAAACAAGGGTAGACCATAGACGCCGACATGTTCCTAGCAGAAGAAAAAGCAAAGTGAACAGAAGCAAACGAGTTCTTCAACTCAGTTAGTGCTTTAGATGCCCCAATAAACATTAATATACACAACAACTCCATGAAGGCCAGAGCTAAAACAAGCACATCATGACTGTCGCCAGCACTATGATGACAACATCTACAACTATAACCACAAGAACAACAACAGAATTGCCTGTATCAAGTCTACACGACATGCTGATGCTCTGCATCATAATTCTCTCAGCCAAAATAATATGCAGAGGCCGCAGATGTGACCACAAATAATTATTTCCGTTCTTCTACACTTCCTCATGGCTACTACTCTTTAAAATGTTATACTTGCAGAGAGGACAGGTTGCATTGATGTACAGCCACTTATCTACACATGCACAGTGAAAATGGTGACCACAAGGAAGTTCCCTTAGCTCAACTCCGTCATCATAAGGAGAAAGGCAGATGCAACATTCCTACAAATTAACCCAAGAACGAATATCAGTTGGCTACTTGACTTAAACTTTGTTTAAGTCACAGCATGACAAAAGGAATTATCACAACAACAAAAAAAAAAAAAGAAACAAGCCTAGCTTCATATCATATCATTTCCAAATAGGCAAATCATAGTAGGAAGGAGATAGGTAATAAACGGCATAAAAAACTAAAAACAAAGAGATCAACTCACTGCATCATCCTGTGAAAGCACATGTTCCATGGGGGAATCAGTACCACATTCAGTCATTATTCCCCCAACAGGTCCTTCAGCATCACCAGCAATCTTCTCATCATTGCCAGTTTTTCGATATTTGAATTTTGACAACTGATCAATGTCTTCCTTGGATGCTCCTTCCTGCTTCAAAAGGTTGTATGATGTAAGGAAAAAGAAAAGTATATCAAAACAGACAAAATAGAAACATCAAAAAGAAAAAACATTCCAACTAAATCCATCTTAATTGCCAAGAGCCATAAAATTGTAGAAATTGTAAATTTTAACTTGAGAGTGCTTAAATCTTTCCAGTCAAATGCAGAAACCAGTCTTTCTTTAAAAGTGCTTAAAGCATGGTCATAAAGTAAAATTCAACATTCAAAATGTGCATCATGCCAAAGTCCACTATCATATTGTATGACTTTCTGACAACAAACCTCTATCAACTTCACTTCAATCATGTGTTCTGCCAGCCATATAGAACATTAAGACATTGGTGATGCTAAACATGAGCTATGACCAAAATGACTTGAAAGATGAGAAAACCTTTCTGAACAGAAAAGCAGGAATGGAGCTTGGTCTACAGGTTTGCTATTTTCTATATAAAGAAACATCCAATCATAGCATAGACTCCTATGAAACACTTAAGCCAGAATGTATATGCCAAAAACCCATGAAATCCTATAGCCATAAAAAATTTACTCCCCTCAAAAAATGAAGTAAGAAACTGCATCAGAATGCGAAAGTCAGAGACACTGATTCCAACATCATCTAAACACAGAACAATCTTAAATGCTCAAAACATTCAAAGCAAATTAAATTAGAGAAAAGCACCATGCTTTTGCACTCATGTTACTTCTAGCATACCAGAAATTTTTCCATTCATAGAGCAGCCAAGCTTTCAAGATATGTTTGCCAGCCATTTCATAACAAAGATGTGAACTTAGATGTGATTACATCAACTACAAGAACAAAAGGAGGCCCTCCCCATACTAACTAGGTGATTCTCATGTCAACTTCAATATTTACTGACCATATTTACCTACATTAACCATCTCATTAGGAAATTAGATATTCAAGCACAAAATCAAGCACCAATTACACACAAACAAATTAATGACACATATACGATCATGATAATCTTACATGCAGCAGGAAGTGATAGTTACCTGATCTGCCACAGCATATAGGATTGCAATAATACATGGAAGACAGCAGCAAACAGCAATGCCAATGATGCATGCCAGTGCAACACAGAAGACAACAAAGAACACATCAAATCCAAGAAAAATTATACAAAGCCTGCAGAGAAATTTGCATTGAAAGAGTTAGGATCCAGTTACAAGGCCAAATCTTTGAACACCAAAAGAGCAGCAGGAAAAACGACACAAGAACTAACCAGTACAGCTGAGGGGAGCCACGTGCCAATGCTTGGCCACCTACCGATACCCAGTAGAATCCAATGATCCACCAGATGAATGAAAACATCGTATTTGCAGATTCCAGGTGCTTTGCAACACTACTGAAAACATCAATTTAAAATGGTTAGCCACTAAATGAGAGACTGCAGTATCATATACAACTTATGCTATAATATGTAAGGTTTACTATATCCAAGATACATTATAAAACAGACATATATCCCAAAGATCATAATTAAAATTTTCAAAAAGCTAACTTTACTAATGTCAAATGCATAGGGCAGATTCTCATAAGTCATAACACGATACAACTTGAAGGTAAATGATTGATTTGTACAACTTAACCAAGTTACATTGAACAGATAACTGAGAATTCCCAATCTGGAAATCTCTATCAAGTACCTAATTGCAATCTAGACATCAAAAGAAAACATGTACTAAGTTACACTTTCTGCAATTAGAGCCTATGTATTCCAATTTCCAAAATGACTTATGAAACAAACTGTCCCATTTCCTCTCCATATCCCCACAACCTAAAAAAAGAAAAACCATCATCTCACTTATCACTACAGAAATAATATCTTCCATCTCAACCACCAATAACCAATAAGAAGCAACATCTCCAAAGTAATCAAAAACTATCATTAACTTCTGAAAATCATCAAATACCAATAAACTCTTATCAATTAAAAATATACCTTCCACCATCCTCTTCCAACTGGGCCAATGTCACGTATTGCTCTGAATCCGCCCTCGATCCAGGACTCAAAACCCCTTCCTCACCGGCGTTAAATGGTCTGTGCTCCAGGCTCTGCCGCCTCCGCCGCCGCCTATACTCCACACAAACGCAAACCATGTGCAACAAACACTGCAAAGCGTACCCAATTATCCACAGCCTCAACGGCATATTGGGCCTCTCGACCCTACTCCAAACCAAAACCCCAACCGCCACCGCCACGAACGCGAAATTCCAGATAATATCGAGGATCACCACGGGCTTCGAATACGCCCAATCGCTCTGGCGCTCCTCGAGCTGCTCGGCGGCGGTTTCTCGAACCAGCATAGACGGCTCGCGCATCATTCTTCGGCTGCTAGCTCGGCGCAGGAACCGCGCCGCTTCACGAAGGCTTTGGCGACGCACCGTTCGACGCGCGGTGGACTCGTCCCGTGACACGCTGCTTGATGATGAGAGAAACGGCGTCGTGTCGATGATGTCATCGGAGGAGGATCGGTTCGTTGGAGTTGTCGAAGCCATCTTTGGGAACTCTCACGAAATTCCTAGAATGATTCTAATATAAATTTAAAAAAATAAGTGGATTTCAAAGGGCCTTTTAATTTTTATGCCATGGAAAAACGGATTAGCGGATTTTCCTTTTATTTAAATTTTGAGGGAATTTTGATAGTTAGGGTTCTGTGGAATGTTGGAGATGGATAGATGACGATGATGAATTGATGATGCTGATGAAAACAAACCAATGGCCGCTTGTCTTATTTTTTCTTATTATTATTATTATTATTATTATCTTTTTGGGTTTTGTTGTCAGGTAATGTTTGGTCCAGTTATTGCGCTACCATACCGTTAGCAGTAATTGATGTCGTCACTCGCACCTATTTAGGCCAATTAATTGTACATTCATTGTTCTTTTCTTCTCCTTTAAAAGTACTCGTAATTTGATAGGCAATTTATGATTTTACTACTAATATTGACAAATCATCAATCAAATAACGTGCCACCCTTGTATTCCCAGTTGAAATAATTATAATGCAGCCAAAGTTTTGTTTTATTTTCATTAATAATAATAATCGGATGACGAGAATCATGTGAGCCCGCTTTTTAAAAAAATAGCTTAATAAACTTGCATGTCAATTTTTTATCCTCCGAAGATGGTTATATTAATTTACATATCATAATTATAATTATAATAGGTATCTTCTAATATCTGATTAAATTAAATAAAATTAAATATTTCATAATGAGATTTGAGTAAGATTTTAATAGTAAAATTGCTATTCCTTAACGATCACATGTTAGATTATCTGAATTTGATTATAAATTAATATTAAAATTTTATTTTTTATATTTTTATAAAAAATTATAATGTAATACTTGCTAAAAATTATTATTTATTCTAAATATAATTTCAAACTTTAATACATTTTTTATAAAATAATTTTAAGTTATATAATTTAATTTTTATTAATAATATATATTAATTTAAATCTATGTTTATCTTAAATTTATACTTTTACAAATATTAATAATTAAATTCAAAGTTTAAATATATCAAAATTAACCAATATCCTATCCATCGTGATTCTTACCAAAGCATTTGATTTACCATAAGTAATTTTAAACAATATACTTAGTAATTACTTAAAACAACATTTTATTTTTATTTTCTTTTAAGGTTAGTATAAATGTGAAAGCTTTTCCTGGTAATTGACTATAGAAACAATTCAAATTCTTGAACTACCTTAAAATATATATATATATATATATAATTCTTGTACTAAGTTTTGAGTTGTGATTAATATTTGCCATTAACTTATCCATTGTCACGATTTAGCCTTGAATCTTAATTATATCTTCAACAAATCTCATTTACAATCGAGATATAGTTTTTATCCTTGAACACTCTACTATTGAGTAATTGAAATTACTCAGTGGATATATATATAGTTTCATATTTTAAATTTATCACTTTAATCTAATCATCTAGTCTAATGTAATTTAAATTCGGTCCATCGTTCCCTATTTTATGGTAATGTTGAAAATTAAAACTAATAAAATTACTAGTACAATGGTCAATGGATAAGAGATTATATTAATCAATTTTTTTGAATTCAACATTATGAATTTCATACATAAACAATTATTTTATTAATTGACTTAATTTTCTTCCTTTAACTGGGAGAATTTTCTAGAGGGAGGGATTGGCTAGGCTGCCTTAATGCAAACTTGTTCACTTTTTTGCCCTTTTCAGAAGCATGATAAAAAGGGGTAAAGAATAATACATAAGAGTTGCTACCTCATTTGCAAATTTATGCGATAATTACACAAAGGGTGCCTCAAAGATAAGTCCAAGGTTCAATAATCCAAGCTATATAAATGTTCGATATACCACTTTAATTATAAAATGTTTGTCGGTTTTCTCAATAAACTAAGACCAGTAATTTATGTCGGCAGGAGTAGATTCAGAAATTTTTTAAATAATGTCATAACATAAACAATAATAAGAAAAAGAACAATAAATTATAGAAGGTAATATTTTGAAAGAAGAAGAGTAGTTTAGGTTTAATTATAGAAAGTAATTTTTTTGAAAAGGAAGAGTAATTATGTATTAACGTTTTAATAAAAATTTTATCGTTTTATATAATATATAAATATTAGTATATAAATTACTTTTTGATAAATCTATTTTGATTTGAAATATTTGACTTCGCTCTTTATAAAATAAAAAAATAATAAATTTATTATTGTCATTAATATATACAAATTTAACTAAATAATATACTAAATTAAATTTTTGTACATTTCAATGAATGAGTGGTGTCATTCCAATGTAAGTCCATCCATATATATCGGTGAGGTTTAAGACATCTTAAAACTCTAAAATATAATTGTTTCAACTTAAATAACCTTTTTGAAAATAAGATGATTGGTTATATGTGAATCCAATAAATACTATTAAGACAATTCAAAGTAATTAATAGAATAAAACTCATAAGTTAATGATATATTAAATCAACAACTTTTTCTACTTCTTCAAGAGAAAGAAGGTGGATTATAAAGACGAGAAATAGAAATGGCATACCAAGTATAATAATAATAATAATAATAATAATAATAAATGAAAAGAGAAGTTTTAAAACAAATGTCTTTTGCCGCAAGTACGTGCCAATCTTACATCCGTGATAATTTTAGATCTAAAGAGGAGATACCCTTAATCCTTATAGAAGTGCATCATCAGAACTGTAAAGCAAGACTTGATAATTTTAAACACGATACAAAAAACTTTAAATATGCCAAACATACTTATTGTGTTGTCATATAAGTAGTGAAGTGAACACATTTATTGATGTTATTTATGTTAGATTTTATTGTATTTGATGATATTATTATCTTGTTATTATGATTGTTGATTTTAAATTTGACTAATAAATTTATATTTTAATTATATGTAATTTAATTTAATAGTGTATTAACTGTATTGAATGCGTTGAAAATTATATTGTATTAATTATTTAATCTTGTTTTTAATAATATTGTATCATATAAAATTTAACTTAATACGTTTAACAAACACATTAATTGTATCGTGTCATATTACATGATTAATAAGTTTATGTGTGTACATGTTTTAGATCTGAATTATGTTATGTTTGTGTTGACTTATATAACTATTAATATTTTATGTTTACACTATACGGTTTAGATACGAAAATATGAATTATCAAATCTACCAAACATGACATTTGTTTGATTAAATGCAAACTATGATGGTAAATTTACATAATTTAGTTAAAATTTAAAATTAATTTGAATATGGAATGTCTTTTGAGAGAAAAAAATTAAACTAATTCAATTTCAAATTCGGTTGGATTAATCAAAACATATGAAAACTTTCGGTAATGTGATTGCAGGTAATGTGATTGCAAGTAATGTGATTACAGGGAAAATAACATTACAGTGTTTGGTATGTAAGCAAAATAAAGGTTAAAATGCAGGGAAGATAACATTGCAGTGTTTGGTTTACAAGTATTTTAGTAGGAATATAATGTTAATTGTCAAAATTACCCCTAATTATTAAAATATAAGTTAATAATTTTATTATTATTTTTTTTATATAATATCATTCCTAAATATATTTTTAATATCATATATTTTATTTTTAATTATTTAAATATTTATATTTATTTTTAAATATTTATATTTATTATTATTTTTAATAATATCATTCTTAAATATATTTTTAATGTCATATTTTTTATTTTTAATTATTATATAATTTTTATATTTATTTTAATATATTTATATTTATATTATTAATTTTTATATAATATCATATTTTAATATATTTTTAATGTATATATTTATTTTATTTATTATTAAATTTTATATTATTATTTAATAATTTATATTTTATTATAATTTTATATAATCATTTCTTAAATATTTTTAATGTCATATTTTATTATTATTATTATTAAATTTTTATTTTATTTTAATATATTATATTTATATTATTAATTTATATAATATCATATTTAAATATATTTTAATGTCATATTATTTATTTTATTTATTATTATAATTTATATATTTATTTTAATATTATTATATTTTATTATTAATTTTTATATATATCATTTCTTAAATATATTTTAATGTCATATATTTTATTATTTATTTATTATATTTTATATTTTATTTTTAATATATTTATATTTAATTATTAATTTTATATAATATCATTTCCTAAATATATTTTAATATCATATATTTTATTATTATTTTATATATTTTATATTTTATTTTTAATATATTTATATTTATATTATTAATTTTATATAATATCATTTTTAAATATATTTAATGTCATATTATTTATTTATTTTATTATATATTTAATTTTTATTTAATATATTATATATATATTAATTTATATAATATCATTTTAAAATATATTTAATTCATATATTTTATTTTTATTATATAATTTTATTTTAATTATTTTATATTTTTTTATAATTTTATATAATATCATTTCTAAATATATTTTTAATGTCATATATTTTATTTTATTTATTATTAATATTTTATATTTTATTTTTAATATATTTATATATATTATTAATTTTATATAATATCATTTCTAAATATATTTTAATGTCAATATTTTATTTATTTTATATTAATTTTATATATTTTATTTTTATTTCTTAATATATTTTTATATTATATATTTTATTTTAATTGTTTACCTATATTAATAAATATTAATTTTATATTTTATTTTATTTAATTTGTTTCTTATATTATATATTTTATTTTAATTATAATATATAAAATATTTTAATAAAGTAATATTGAAGGTAAAATTGTCTTTAAAACATTGCAGAGTGCAATGTAATGTGATTGTATTGGTTTTGGACTGCAATCACATTACATCCATTGGTTGCAATGTGATTGCATTGCAATCTTCATTGCAGTGATCTGTTACAAAAAAACGCTGCAATGTAATTAATAAGTCACATTGCAGGTAAGGCTTTACATTGCAGCATAACAAACGGCCCTTATTTTTAGATGAATACAGTAGACGCACAAATTACAATAGTAGGCGCTATATTTCCTATTTCTGACGCCTGGAATGTAAACCCCTCCGTTTTGGGGGCGTTTGCAATAATACTAAAAGATAAGGGCCATTGCTTCAATTTTACAAATTTACAGACCCTCCAAGGAAAAGAAGTAAAGGGCGGGGAAAGGGCCGTGGATTTCGTTCTGTTTCCCTCCAAATTGAAGCAGTGGCGTGTTTGGGCCCTTGGTGAAAGGGGTTTTCTTCATAGTAAATACCAGGCACTTCGCAAAGCTTTCAGTGACTCAACACAAAAATGGCGTCCTCCTCATCATCCAGCAGCGGCGGTTACGACGTGCCGTGGGTGGAAAAATACCGGCCAAACAAAGTCTCGGATATCGTCGGCAACGAAGATGCCGTGTCTCGACTCCAAGTCATCGCTCACGATGGCAACATGCCCAATCTCATCTTATCCGTACGTTTTGCAACCTCTAATTACGATTGAATTGCTTAATAGCTATCTAAAATGGTTTATAACTACGGGAATTATCCGATTCGGTTAATGTAGTAAAATCCCCAAGTCATCATAACGAAGATTTTGCTAGAATAACTGGTGGATTTTGATTAAGCGTTGGAAAATGTGGTAATATTTACTGTTAGGTGAAAAATTTAGGAAAGGAAGATTTTAAGCATTTTGTATTCGAGACATTTTATCAATTGGGAGTGAAAAACCTAATTTTGTTGCAAGGACAATAAAATAAGTAGGATGGTCTTTTGCCCTAGTTGTAGGTGAGTTCTAGTGTAGTGAAAACATGTTTTCTAGATTGTTGTTTATTCAAGGGTTTAATGAGTTAATGAACAAAAGCAAATAAAAAAGCTCTAAGAAATGAACAAGAATTCTTCATTGCGTGAATATTCTGCATTGCATTTTTCAGGGTCCTCCTGGAACTGGTAAAACAACTAGTATTCTGGCTCTTGCACATGAGCTTTTGGGGACAAACTATAAGGAGGCTGTTTTGGAGCTTAATGCATCTGATGACAGGTAGGTGAACGGTTGGGCTTCCATGGCATTTTAATTTCTTTAACTTTTGAATTGCATGTTCGCATATTCCCTTATCGCCTTCCTTTTTCTTGTATAGGGGTATAGATGTTGTCAGGAACAAAATTAAGATGTTTGCTCAAAAGAAAGTAACTTTACCTCCTGGGCGGCACAAGATAGTTATCCTGGATGAAGCTGACAGGTAAGAACTGCTAATAATGTTCCGTGAATCTTGATGTTAATCATCAAGCTTGGTTGTTCTGATACTTTGCTTTTATCTGCTAAAATTTCTATAATCATTCAACTTTCATGTATTTACATTGGGAGCGTCTTCTGATTTTGAGTTTATATGTACTGCTATAACTTACAGTTGAATTAACTATTGTGTTTTCCTTTGTTTTGGATTGAGTATATGATGGGTATATATTTTATAATGGTTAGCATGACATCTGGTGCACAACAAGCCTTGAGGAGGACAATGGAAATATATTCAAACTCTACTCGTTTTGCTCTTGCTTGCAATACATCGTCTAAAATCATTGAGCCTATTCAGAGCAGATGTGCCCTAGTCCGGTTTTCAAGGTTATCTGATCAAGAGATTCTAGGCCGTCTCATGGTGGTGGTAGATGCAGAAAAGGTACAAAGTTTTCCCACAATGCTTTTCTCAATCCTGCATCTTACCTGCATATATTGGCAGAATGTGTGAACTCCTGTTTAAGGTACTTTTTTTTCTACTTTTCTCATTCTTATTTATGAGCCTCTATCAAATGCTAACACTTCTGTATGTCGCCAATTTCACCATTTTTACTTTCGAGGGAGTGGCTCCTTTGTTTAATTGCTTTATTACACAAAATATAGTAACAGATGGTTCCATTTGTTAGCCAAAAATAGGAAAGAGATGGAAAGTCCTATCTACTTACTTTGAAATGATTGTTTAAATTTTCTGGTGAATGACTTAAAAGGTTCATTGGTCTGAAATATTGGAAAGCTTATTGTCATTGATTGTTCTTTAAGTAGATGCAAATGCATAATTGACCTAATTTTGCAATCAATGAAGGTTCCATATGTTCCAGAAGGTCTTGAAGCCATCATTTTCACTGCTGATGGTGATATGAGGCAGGCATTGAACAACTTGCAGGCTACATTCAGTGGATTCCGTTTTGTCAACCAAGAAAATGTTTTCAAGGTTATAACTCATAAAGGACTCCTAACATTTTGGTATGTTATTTGACTTTGGGAATGCTATTATATGTCTGGTTTCTTTTCAGGTTTGTGACCAGCCTCATCCATTGCATGTGAAGAACGTGGTCCGCTATGTACTTGAAGGGAAATTTGATGATGCGTGTTTGGGTCTGAAGCAGCTATATGATTTGGGCTATTCTCCTACTGATATAATCACAACACTTTTCAGAATTATAAAAAATTATGATATGGCTGAGTACTTGAAATTGGAATTTATGAAGGTTCATTTATCTTGCTAGGCCTGTATTTATTTCATATTAGCACAAAGTCTAGTTTTGTTACAATATTTATTCTCATTTCTTGCTGAGTTGCAGGAAACAGGGTTTGCACATATGAGAATCTGTGATGGAGTTGGTTCATATCTTCAGTTATGTGGCCTGCTGGCGAAGTTTTCTCTAGTTCGTGAAACTGCTAAAGCGGCATAAGTTAGTTGGTTAGTAAAATTAGAACCTGCTACATCTGGGGTCCTGATGGCAAGAACCTTTAGCATATAGCAATGTTGCTTTAACATTAGGTTTCTTGCAAAGACCTTTCGTTCATGGAGTGCCGAAGTTGCTTTTATATGGGAACTTGTGGTCGAATTCCGGAGCTTATCACCATCCAATTTGACTTCTCCACCTTGGCTTCTTTATTTCAAGGTAATGAATGAAGTTGGCGAATCTTTTGATTGTTTTACTTTAGATGCCACTTTCCTCATACTTAACATTTGTCTTCAGAAATGATGGGACACTAGTTTGGTTCACTAGTTTCATAACAAAATCAAGTTGCTTTTAGGTTCAATTTACAGTATACCAATGCTGATTGTTCTGTCATTCATAGCTTATACAGAGTACTGAGAAGAACAGCTTATTTAGTGTCAATAACTTAGGTTGGCATGGCTTCGGTGGTTCGGCCTAAGCCCGTGAAGTAGCTGAACAATCTGATGATGGGCAAGTGGGGTGTGGGCCTGTGACTTGTGCATGAGGGAGTTTCGGGGATTGTAGAACATGGACCAGGGTAGGAATGGTAGCTGGGTAGAGTATGCTTTAATTCTGAGGAACCGAATTCTTAAATTTTGAGGTATCGAATTCGAATTTCGTTAAAATTTAATTAATCATATTTTACCTATACTCAATTAAAATTTAACACTTAACATTTGAATTAGATTACTAATATTTGTAAAAAATCAGAATTTGAATTTGAATTCAAAATAAAAATAAATTAAAATGTTTTATGTATAGTATTAATGAAAATTAATTCATAAAAAAATTAAAATTTAAAATCATATTTAGAATAATTAATAAATTTTTATAATTATTTTATTATTGACAAATAATTCATAAATAAAAAAATGTATAAAATTAAAATTAAATATTAAAAAATTATTATTTACAAATAGATTCAAGAAGTAGTAGGCATCTTATAATAACAATTTAAATCTTATCTGAACTTGTTACGGATCATAGTTTTATTATTCAAATCTTTCTCAAATTCGATTAGGAAATAATTTAATTTTTCTTAAGTATGTGGGTAGAAGAGAGGAGAGTGGGTCGGCGGCTCACGATGGTTCCACTGGTTGTTAATAGTTGCTAGTTGCTACTTCTGTTGAAGAATTCTCTCTGGCCCATATAGGCTATAGCTTTCACGTCTATAGGTAAAAAATTGGTATTTGCTTAAGCCGTTGGTTTAATCGGTAACTCTTTCTCTCTTTGAAGTTTGAAGTAGAAATTTCCATTCCCAATTTTTCATTTTTTGAGAATATAACATCGTGATATATTTGAAGCTACCTACTCCATAAGATATGAACTGATAAGGATTTACACTGCACGTTTTAGGAGGAAAACAGTTTTATTCGTAGAATATTATGTGTGCATTTATTATCTTCAATGTGACTTTCATCGAAGGTGCTTCATATTCTCATTAAAATGGAAACATGATAAAAGGGACCTTCAACAAGGTGCCATGATGTAGGGACCTTGATTTGATCATACCATTAAATAATTGAGAAATACTTTTGTTTGGTAGGATAGGAACTTGATTTTCCAAATGCTTTAAGAAATTGTTTCATCCGGTAGATAGAGACTTACTTCCAAATGACTCGAATTTAATGCCACTTGTTATCAATCCACCTCGATGTTATTTCTACACATAGTACTCGCAAAATTCGTTGTTTTATTGATGTGGAACTGAAACAAAATGAACAAAAATTCCAAGACGGAAATGGGATTATTGTTGAATAAAGCTGTGCTTGAGAGTTTTTAAGATTTCCCAAAACAAATGCATTTTAGTTTTGTAATGCTTTGAAATTCGAAATCATTCTAAAATTGTTGCGGTCACCCACAATAGACTATCTAATCTAAACCTTGATGAGGCTCGAGGTCGATATTTGGTGGATGAGAGGGACTGAAAAGAAAGTGAGAAAAGGCCAATTGGCAGAGGCACCAAGAGTAGCTTCAAAGCGACCAATTCAGCTCACAACTCACCAACCTATACAGCCAACTCATGCCTCAACACTCTTAAAATTTTCCTTTTTCGCAGATTCACACTCACAGTTCCTGTGCTTTTTGCACGCAGACACACGCTTCTTACAAACAACTCCTCCCTCCGCGTAATCTCATAGTCACATGTTTTCCCCTCCTTGGCCTTTCCCAGTCGGATCATCCATACGCGTCTTTACTCTTTATAATAATTTCCTTCACCTCACCTGCCATTCACTTGTTTTTCTTCTTCAAAAGGACTAAGCTACCCTTTTGTAATCCTTCCAACACCTATGGAAACTATTTAAGCAATTTGTATGGTTAAAAAAACCTCCAATTGCCACCCTTAAACCTGTTTCATTAAAGGTTTTATTGACATTTTCGTGTGTGAGATGAGCCATTGACCGGAAAGGCTTGCGCTACAAGGACCATACTAAAGGCTGTCCTCTTAAAGATGCAAATTGAGTAGTATATATCTTGAAAATAGTCTAACTTTCACATCAATCTCTACCTGAGGTTGCTTATGATAATTTTCCAATATAAAATCAAGTGATTTTGTTATTTTGTTTGTCGTTACGTATGTTTAGCCGGAATGCTTGACGCATTAGATAACAATAAAAAACAAAAAGAAGAAGGTGTTGTTCATTTTCTTAATTGGTTGACTTAGTACCTTCAACCCATAGGAGAAAGACAACCACAAAATGCGTGGATGGAGGGCCGTCCACGTCCTTAAAATGAGTAAGGTTTAAGAAGACAAGCAAGTCATCCAGAAGTTGATCAACATTTGTTGCTTAAAAGAAACTGTGTTGGAAGATGATGCAAGTTGTGAATTGTCAAAGGTTTTTCGATTTGGAGAAGGAGTCATGTCTTTGGCAGGATATATAACATAATTATGGAACCGAGACAAGGTTGTGTTTCAGCTAAGACAAGCTGCATTTTGCTTCTCTAATGACAATAAAGGGGCCGACCACAAATGTCATCTCATCCAAAGAAAAGCCTTTGCCTGTCCAGACCACAACTCCACAATGCATTACGATGATATCATTCCAACGAAAAAATTTCCACTTCTATATAATTAAAATAATTTGATGCCAATAATGAAGTGGCTTCAAAATAAATATACATATACATAATTACGGTTTAAGAAGTATTGTCAATAATATCATTTTATTTATTTATTTTTCAGGGTTTACCTTTGAAATTAGTCATTAACTAACTTAATTTTGCCAACCTAAAAGCAAGCTAATATAATCTAAAAATGGTAAAGGGGGGTGGGGGGTAGTAAAACAGTTGAGCTAATGAAACCAAAGAATGCAACTCAAAATAAAAGTTGGAAAAGGAAATAAAACTAAAACTCAATCAACAAACTCCAAATACAAAATGATGAACCGATTCGAAAATGACCTTATGGAAATATGATGCAAGCTTGACTTGAACGTGATTAAACTTTTTTTTCCAACGGGATTTGTTTACCACACAATCTAACACTTTAGAGAAATACATATTAATCATTCCATTGACAAGAGCTACAAAGGGAAAGATATAACTACAAAGTGGAGATTCACATTCCATAACGTTCGGGTCTTGCATGAAAAGGTGAAAAAGAAGGGAAAACTGCATCACTTTATAGGATTTGGGGTTCACTAATGTTATCCAAATGCTCCAATTAAAAGGATCAAAAGAGGAGAGAACCCCAAGTTTTCACTGCTTTTTATATCATCATTTTGTCTCACAATTTCCCTTTCTCCCAGCCTTCTTCTGTCGAATTATTATGAGTATAATTAATCACTATCTTATTAGCAATAAAAGGAAAATTAAAACCCTTACTCTCATCTTTTGTACCCGACAAATTAAAAGAAAAGGGCAAATAAGTAATTTGAAGTAAACTATTGTTTTATTTAATTTTCTTTATTGCATACAACAAGTGGTGATTCTATCAAACCCCACCGCCTGCCTGACAAACTACCGAGAAGCAACCGGTGGGGGGAGAGAAAGGGATGTTTTAAAACCAATCGGGAATATAAAAAAAACTCAGTATTATATTTTAACTTCAACGGTTAAATCTGAAAGTAACAACAAGAAGAAGAGGAAACAAAGGAAAGCTCCAGAGACAGGACAAAACCCAACTCTCTCTCTCTTTGTTTTTGTCCATTCCTAGCCATTAGTTTTTCCTTTCAAGCCACTCTTTTCACATGCATATATAAAGTTCAATTCGATCTCAATTTCTTTTCAAAAAGAAAAAAGACCCAGAAAAAAAGATCAGGAATTTTTATCCATTAAGCAGTGGAAAGGAAGGATTTTCTTTTTTCTGAAGGAGAATGGCCAGTGGGGATCTGGAGAGGGGAGGAGGAAGTAATGGGAAGAACAGGGCAAATAACTATTACCAATCATCTTCTACAGGTCCATACTATATGGAAAGTGCTGAAAAGCAATGGACTTCGTGGCTTGTTCCGATGTTTGTGGTGGCTAATGTTGCTGTTTTTGTTGTGGTGATGTATATCAATAACTGTCCTAAGAACAATCTGGGATTCGAAGGGAGCTGTGTGGCTAAGTTTCTTGGCAGGCTTTCTTTTCAGCCTTTGAAAGAAAACCCTCTCTTTGGTCCTTCTTCTAAAACGTAAGTCACATCGACCCATCTCTAAATTGACGTCTTTCTTTTTTGTTGGTTTTAAACCAACTTTCTGGAGTCTTTGGTTTGGTTTTGCTTGAGTCTGGGATTTTTGGTTTCTGAGATTTTGTGTTTTTATGCATTAGTTTTGTGTTTCTATTAGTTTATTTCTAATTTTAAGAACTTGTGATTTGGTAGCTAATGTATTGCTGCAGTGAAAGAGGGAGTTGAACTAGAATTGAACTTGAGGCTACTTTTGCATCTTTCAAATTCTAAAACACCAATTCTAAAGAGACAATATTATACAGCCAAGTCCCAGAACCCATTGATTAATTATCATGCATAACGAATGAAAAAGGACAAAAAGAAGAGTGGTTGTCAGTTTTTGGGATTAGTCATAGATTCTGAATTGCATGTTCCTGAAACTTTTTGGACTATTTGTTAATGTCTTTTAAAAGTTGTCTATGTAGGAAGATTTTCTTTGATGATTCAACTTCAGTCCAGTTGATCCTCTCATAGGATCCTCCTCTGATTATGCAAGAGGATTTATTAATCTGTGATTTATTTGATTCTGACTATGAGATGATGGATAATAATACATACTGGAAATTTGTGTGATTTGGTTGGTACTTTTTAAACTTATAAGGTCTGTTACTGCTTGTTGATTTTAATAGTATTCATAATTCTCAATATGGGATTGTTAACAAAAGTCCATTACTTGGCTTCTGGTATGTCATGGTTTGCTTTGTCTAGCTGAAGTGTAGCGGGACAATTTTATGATTAGGAACCTCTTCAGGCTTAATAGCAATCGAGTGTGGGTGGTTTTTCTGTTAATACCTTCAGGGTTCTGGATTTTGATTTGACTTCTTGCTCTTTTGTCAACTAGTGAATTCCTCTTGCTGCTTGCCATAATGTAGTAAATGAACAGAAGGGTATTGAGGTTGCATATTATTCCAGGATCAAGAGGTTAATACCTGTTTATTTTACTTGTCATAATTTCGGAACAATTTTGACATACTGAAGGGAATGTTTCACTTTATCAAATATTACGAGAATGCCAGTGTGGGAGTCATTGGCTGGGTAATGCAGTTACTTGCTCAATTCATTTAGGGATGCATGGTTTTATTGAAGTTGAAGTAGGAAAGACATGGGTCTTAATCAAATAATAGAGAGACAGTTTTGCTTTTGTTTTTGATTGGTCTAATGCAAAATCTGAACTTTGGTTAAGGCTATTTGCATTCAATATATGTATGTACATAATTTTCAGTTTTTCACTGGATTGAAGAGGGAGTAATTGTAAACATGAACATGCTATATCTCAATGGCATGTGTCCTGTTCTCTTCTTTTTCTATCTCTAGCAACCTTTTTTTTTATTAGGCTGCGACATTGGTGATAGTTGTAGCTCTTGTAATTTGCTAATACTCCTCCCCATTCTTCTTCAGATTGGAAAAATTGGGAGCACTAGAGTGGAACAAGGTAGTGTATGGCGATCAAGGATGGAGGCTTATCACTTGCATCTGGTTGCATGCAGGTGTTATTCATCTGCTTGCAAACATGTTGAGCTTGGTCTTTATTGGGATTCGCCTTGAACAGCAATTTGGATTTGGTATGTGATGTGTCCTTTTTTTTAATGTTTGATTGATTATTCCAAATTTGCTCTCGGGAAAATTTTTGCATTATATAATATCTTTTTGCAATATGTAACATTTCAATCTGTATGTGTTGGGTCAGTCTTGATCGATCAGCAAAATGAAATATCATATATATTTATGTGTATGTGTGTGTGTGTGTGTTATAGATGATCCATTGATTGTATTACTTGGTAGATGAATTTTGTTTATTCCAACAGTATTATGGTACAGCTTCATTTTGTAAATTTTATACTTTGGATATCTTTCTAGAGGGTGATTTTGTAAATTTGTTTATTTCATTGTGGTGTTATAGCTGATATGTGTTCTTTCCCCTGACAGTGCGAGTTGGGCTTATCTATCTATTGTCTGGATTTGGTGGGAGCATACTATCTTCTCTTTTCATTCAGCGTAATATTTCTGTTGGTGCCTCTGGTGCTTTATTTGGTCTTCTTGGAGCAATGTTATCAGAGCTTTTGACTAACTGGTCTATCTATACAAATAAGGTATGTTACTTGCCCTTTGTTTCCATCAACTTAGGAAGGAAAGCTTTTATATGCTAAATGCAATTTGGAAATAGTTGCCTTGATGTTTGGAGCTTAAGATAAGTAGATCTTGGCACCCATGATCTAAGGATCAGCAAATGCTATCAAAAGGAAAAAAAAATGGGAGGAGAATGGGTGGTGATTGGTGAATGTGGTTTTGTTGCTATATAAATGTTTGCCTTGGTTGTGTCATTTAAGTATTTATTCTAGACTTTTACCTATTGCTTGACAAGTAATTTAGGAGATTAAATTCTTTTGTATTGTAGGCTGCAGCTCTCATCACACTCGTAATCATCATTGCCATTAACTTGGCCGTAGGAATTCTTCCTCATGTTGACAACTTTGCACATATTGGAGGTTTCTTGGCTGGCTTTCTCCTTGGGTTTGTTTTGCTGCTCCGTCCCCAATTTGGGTGGGTGGGACGTCAGCATCTTCCTGCTGGTGCTCGTGTAAAATCTAAGCACAAGGCATACCAATATGTTTTCTGGTTGATTGCTGTGGTTTTACTCATTGTTGGGTAAGTTGAAACCCCAGGTTTTGCTTGACATATCGGAAATGAATATTCATTTGGTTTCCTTATTGAAACTAAAATTGCCATAGATGGTTCTTCTAGTTACTTGTGTTTAATACTTACCCAGGGTTTATAATTTACACCAGTGATTTTATCCTGGTGACAAGAAAGATTAATCAACTGTTTTCTTTTTGAATGATGCAGTTTCACAGTTGGGTTGGTAATGCTGTTTAGAGGAGAGAACGGAAATGACCATTGCAGCTGGTGCCATTACCTGAGTTGTGTGCCTACATCAAAATGGCACTGTGGAAACTAATGCAAACATTACGAATACCACGATACCTAGACTTGATCTCGCTCACTAATTCTTTCCTGATTTCCCTTTTTTATAGTTTATTCATTTGTTAATTTCTTCGAGTTGGTATTGCTTATGTATATGCATAGTTTTTGACTTCTGAGATTATATATCTTTGGACACCATAGAATCCGTTGTTATATATTTGGGTATATATATATAGATATTCTGATTGTATGCAAATTTACCTACAGATAAAAGCATTTCTCTCTTTTTTCTTTTCCTGTAGTTGCAGCCAAAGATGCTTTTTTCGTTTTTGTCCCTGCCGAAGCCAGTGCCAAGGATTTCTCTGTTCTCTTTGCCTACGTGCATACCTTTAAATGACAGTTTAGTTCCAAGTGTAATTCAGAAACCCTTTTCTTTCTTCAAGTAACCATGGAAAAAACAAAGAAAATCACTTGGCAAACGGGTAAAGCAAACCTTCACTGTGATAACCAAACTACACGACAAAAGCAGCTGACGGATGCTGCATCAAACAGTACCTGTTGTGTAAATCTTCAGATATCTTTGAACTTCCAAACAACCAGAGGCATTGTACCAACAATTGCTGCCCATTGAGCAAACCCACTGCTCTGATCAGAACATGGCCACATGGCACCTACAGGAATGCATGGCCTTTGGCACTCTGCCATAGGACATCCGCTGCCTGCTCTCCAATGGAGACATTTCAATGCGAGGTGTACTGTTTGTTTTTGACTTTCTGCATACGATGCCGTATTTCCGTAAACCTGACTGGGATTTTGGGTCAGCTTAGTACACCCACCGACATCATCGACCGAAAATCTTCCAGTACAAAACCTTTTGTCTATGTAATCTTGAGTGGGGCATCTTCAAGTACCCGTCTGCGTCATAAATTCCATTGATTGTTTTCGTTTACACATAGCCAAATGTAAAGGCCAAAGCCACAAAAACGACTACAAACCAGAGTTCAGAGTTCCACTGCTTTGTATCATTATTTATTTGATTGGGGCAAGTCACCAAGCCATTATCTAGTCTAAGTCACTTAGTAACTCCAAAAGTTCAATATTGCAAAGGTCGCTCAAGGAAATGATGGTTATGGGAAAAGATGTCACAGGTTTTGCCAGATCTAGTTCACATGTGAAAGTAATTTTTCACGACTTGGGGCCTTTTGGGTTTTGTCAGCATGCAAAGCTTGCATAGAGAGTAGCAAGCAGGAATGAATCACTTTAATCACTTTTACTTAAAGGGAGATAAAAAAGGATAAAAAGACAATTATGATTATGTTTAACCACCCGTGAAACACTGTTTGAGCACATATTCTTTGGAAGTCACATGCACCTAAAACATAAAGATGGCTACAAGAGTTATAAAGCTAAGGTCAGATTCTTCATCATGACTAAACCTAAACATAAAGAGCTAAATGTTCCTAGAGCCAGGGGTAAAAACAATTAAAGGACACGAGTTAGCAGGATTAGATAAATACTAACACCAAAAATACTTGGGACATTACTTGAAACCACTGTTTTTAGTATCTATACCCAACAGGCATTCCTAGCCTGTCCAGACGACCTGATCCTGGGTAAGCTTTGCTGGCGAAGCTTGCATGCAACGAAGACCTCTGAGTGTTTGACTTCAGTTCAGCAAAACCGTGAATGGAATACCTTTTTGTTGAACTAGATCTCTCATATTGGGGCCTCTGCTTCGGAGCACTGAGAGACCTCACCTTAGCCATTGAAGATTCAGTGTAAGCCATGTAATTTGGGTGGTCTGAGTAGCCGCTTAGAAAGCTTCTGGAGCCATCACTCTTAGCAGGAGTAAACGGGCTTCTCCCCCTAGAACTACCCCCTTTAGATGATGCTGAATAGAATTGTGGACTGTTATCAGCAGTGCAGAAAGCGCTTTCCTCGACCTTGTGGGAGCACTTCAATGGACTTGTAGACTGAACTTCACCCGATGAAGGACTAGGAGCTGTTTGGTGCGAGTCTCTGGAATTTGTGAAACTACAACTATAGAGATCGGAGTTGAGAGCAAGGTGTGTAGAATGAAACAGGTTTCTCCTTTTAGAGCTGAACTGGGGTTTCCCAGTATCAACCTCAAGGATCTTGTCATTCTTTTCATCATCCATAGGACCAACTCTTGTTGAATGCACTCGTTGGTCCCATGATTGTTCATCAATCCGACGGTCTGATCGATTCCTCCCTAGAGGTATTTTCTCATGATTATCAAGAGTCCTTCCACTCGACTTTGACCCATTTCTCTGAAATTGTTGGAAACAGGTTAATTAAGCATGTATATTCAATGCCAAACGGTACTACCATAAAGTTTCTTTCTTTTTTTTTATTCCTATTTCTATTTAAGGTTCAAACACGGGCAAAAGACCATACCTTCAGCATTGATGATTGTTCATGTTTTGTACTCTTAGATCGAATAGCATGTTCAAATTTTTCAGGGGTTGGTGGACCCTGCGTATAAAAAGAGATTTCATGGTCACCGACAATTACAAAACAGACAAGCTGATATCAGTCTAATATACAAAGAAAAATGTGACCATGCAATAAATCCAACCAACCCTTGTCAATTCATAAAGTAATGAGAGGAATCTAAGATAATATGCCCACCAAATCGCCTTTCAGCAATAAGTTTCAAGATCGTACCATTTAAAGATAAACACAAATATCTGCAGCACATAATTATTGGTAGGCAATATGCCTCAGAAAATTACTTAATTTCTATTATATTCAGACAAAATGTTGGATTAAAGATGTAAATGCAAGCACTGTCATTGGGCCAACAACTCGTAGGTCCCTTAATTTTGATAATAATATTGCCACCAATTTGTTTTAATGCCCTCCATATCTTTTAATTTAAATTTAAAATATACAGTGTATAATTGGGCATGACAACTACTGATCATAATTTCTACAAAATTGAAACCATAAATATTAAATTCATACATGCGCTGGTTGTCAATAGGTATAAAGGAAAGGAGCCCACAATCCATAAAGCAGGTGTACTTGGGGCAAATAAATTACCATGAGAAATTTCAAAAAAATACAGGATGGAAGAACAAGTCTGACTTACAGGATGGTGGAAGTGGGAAGATTTGCTGCTTGATTGTGAAGACTCGGAAATTTGGGCCCGCCCAGCACGAGCACGTGCTTGTGCTCGCAACAATGCTTGCATCCTTCTTACCCATTCTGCAGTTCTCTTCCTCTCTATATGACCTCTAACCAATGCCTGAAGCCTCACTAAACCTTTTAGTGCACGCAGCGCCCTCCTCGCCTTCAAAAGCACATAAGAAAGGTATAATGTAATCAAGCTAGCATATGACAAAACATCTTAGGGTCATTAGAATTACATTATTATTAGCATATCAAACTATTGCGTTAAATCCTCCATTTTCTATCAAGTAAAGAGCTTTACATTAATGGCTTTGTGCACAACACAGAAACAGGTGAGGAGCAGAACAACTAAAAAGCAACTGAAAAGGCAAAGAACCATCTGCTCAGGAATCAGGGGCAATCACAAAGACGTAACAACCAAGGTTCAAAAGACAAGGAAACAGGACCACATTGAACCATTTATTGAATTACTTTTAATATGTAAGGGAAATGTTTAAATCTGGCGCCAAAGGCAAATGCAGAAAACAAGTGACATTGAAAATTTAAAGGTAGCAGGCGCCATGAAGACGATAGATAGTCATAGACTCATGGTAGTAGTGGTATTTTTTTTTTCCAGAAATTTAAAATTCTGACATAATATGAAAGGGGAAAAGGACTTCCCACTAGCCGCCCGACCCCTCCGGTAAAAGCAATCCCCACGAGGCTCTGACCATAGATAAAGGGTTTTGTGTAATCATGTTCACACTATGAAGTACACAACTAACACCAAACCTTTAATATCATCTCCAAAAAGTCATACAAATGCACTTAAGGAAACAGAGATATTACCCACGACAAAGTTTCCACTGGTTCGGAGCCACCTTTCCGGAAAAACCAAAACTTTCCATTACCCAGAAGATTCAACCCAAGGTATACTTGGACCCAGGTCATCCATTGCTCAAAAAGGTTCCATTGCATTCAAAGTCTTCTGATCAGATAATGCTGACAATTGGGTTGATTCTTAATTTGGTATTCTAATAAATTATTCCATAATTATTGAGCATGGCAAAAGAGTTGTTGGGTGTATCCTTTTAAGCTTTCAATAATTAGACAGCAATAATAATCCACAACCTAAGCCAACCAAAATATCGTCAATACTAACTAACCCACATTAATTAACACCCAAAATTAGATAATCCACTTTCATTTACTATAGTTACTGCCAGTACTATTTAGATATAAAATGAAAGATTACCTAAATAATCCCAGAAATAGAACCAAATGACTCAACCTCGGAAACTATATTCTGCCCCATTAAATGTTTGAAAACGCCATGGCTCAAGAAACACGAGGAGGAAATTTCTAAAGAAAAAGTTTGCGGAGGTCCAAAAGGGCTTTTTTTGGGGAGGGGTGCGCAATGTGCAACACGGTGCAAGGTAACGACATGTCTATTTTACAAAGTACTTTTAAAATGGAAAGGTTCTTTTGGAGATGTACTTATTGAGGTTTTCGAAGATAAACGACACAAGAGAAAACAGCTCGGATGTAAGAAAATGGGAAGCTTGGTCGGTAGCTTCCTTGCTTCCACCTGCTGGTGGGGAGGACGAACTGGAAAACGACATCGTTCTTGTAATTACACGAATCTCGAAGATAACTAAATTCAGTAATGGGAACAAAACAGTTCTTAGCTTTGATTCCTATATGTTTTCGTGCTCTCTTCTTCCTTTCAAATAAAATAAATAATTAAAAAAAACGTTTTTGTTCGCATGGAAAATGAATTCTTAGAAGAACAAAATTAAGGTTCAACGAGTTCAACGCCTCGGAAGCGGAAGAATCAGGTGTATAAAATGAGCACGAAGGACACGTGTCGCGCATTCAACAGGTTGTTATTTGTCAATCCCGGAAAAAGCTTTCACCAGAATCGATAGTAAAAAACGATAAAAATGAACAAATTTTAAAAATAAAAACTAACCAGATATCCGCGAAATGCAGATTGTATCTTAACCGCAGCGAACTCCTCGTGTGCGCCGCAGCTGCTGCTAACGTGAGATGCCGGGTCACGCGCGCACCTTCCGCTACTACTAGTGAGCCTAACCACCGCCGCGGCAGCTTGAGCAGCCGCGACAGCCGCTTCAGCAACAGCGGCGGTAGCGGCAGCGACAGCGATCGCGTGCTTGTTAGGATCCACTACTTGACACTCGCCGTTCGCGCCGACGGAAACATGTTCTTTCTGTTGCTGCTGAAGTCCGTAAGGCGACGACTTCGCAACACTGCTACTGCTGCTGTTTGCGGCGGCCGTGTGTTTGGTAGTGGAGATAATGGAGTCTTTTTCGCGGAAGGACTTGACGAAACTCCAACGGCGTTTGTCTTTATGAGGTCGTTGTTGTTGTTGTTGCGGTGGCTGGGAAGAAGAAGAAGAAAGCTGCTGGAGGGAGTCGGCTTTTTTCAGGCCGAGGATGCTGCGGAACCACTTTGAAGCCTTGCCCATTCTGTGTTTCTTTATCTTTATTCTCTCCTTGTCTTGTTTAACTTGGTTTGGTTTAATGGTGGAGAAGTTGAAAGAAGAAAAAAGTATTGGGTTTGTGAGGTTTCTTGGAATACATTTGCAGAGAGACGAGAGACGAAAGAGAGAGAGGAAGTGGGGAAGAGGAGACGTTTGTAAGTTTGTTCAGAGTAGGAGTGAGAAGGAAGGGAGAGAGAACATGATTTGTATATAAATGCGGAAATTATACGGTACGGTGTATGTGTATTTTATTAGTATTACTATTTACTAACTCTATCATAAACTAATATTACAAGCAAATAAACAAAAAAAAAAAAACATATTCTTGGACTTGATGTGATAGGAAATGGTTAAACGATAAACTTAATAACGTTATGCGTTTGTCCCAGATGGCGCGTGTATCACACACCCCACAACCGGTTTACAGAAATAATCAAGCAATTTCAATGTTAAATTCTTATGCACCATGTTAATAATAATACGTATACTATTTAAAAAAGTTTTATATTTATTTTTTTGACAGGCAGGTTCTTGATGTATTTAAAAAATGAAAAAAATTATTTATATTTTATTTAATTAAATTTTTATATTTTTATTTAAATTAAATAAAATTTTATGAATAATAGTAGTATTGATAATCAAAATATTATTTATAATTTTATGTTATATTATATATTGATGGGATATGATAATATAATTATATGATATTTTTATTTTTTATATTAATATTATGTAGATATAAAATAATATATTATAATGATAATTAGTGACATATTAAAATGATAAATAATATTTTTATTAATGATAATTAATAAATTTTTAATTATAATTTTTTTTATATTATGGTATAATGATATATGAAGACTAGTCAAAGTTAAAAATTTGGTAATTCCCATCCTAACCAATAACTTAAATATCAGGCATGTGATTGAAGTTGAGAATTGGATTCTTCATAATCTTCAAATGTAGAAATTATACTATATTCAAACTTTGCTTATGTATTTGACTAAGGTCTAAACTATCATTATCAATTACCAACAACCCAGGCCCATGGCAAATCAGCCCAACCAGCAAAAAGTTATAGTAAAAGAGGACAACGGGAAGTTTCCTTCGATCGAAACACGAAAGGAACCAACGATCAACAGAAAGTAGAGCTGAATGGTCAGTCGGAGTCCGAAGGGAGCAAAGCTAAAACGTTTCTTCCCAACATTTCCGCCCACAACAGCATGATCAACTGCATCGATCATGAACACTACAAGTGGGTCACCACATCTGATCGATCAAATCACAAGGTGGAAAGAAACTGAGAAGATGTTGGTAATTATTGTGTCTCGTAATCCCACCTGATGGGTTAATCAGGTGGATACGATTAGATTTGTTCAAGCCTGTGCTTTTCTTTTATATATATTACATATATAGGAGGGTAGATGTGTGCAGTGTAGCTTTGCTATCTATGGCTGAGCTCTGACGTCAGAGCCCGGTCTTACAGGTGATGATAAAAAGAATAATAAGTATTAATAATTAATTTCCTTGAAGGTCTGATCAAGAGAAGACTAGAGAAAGAATTGTTCGTTCAAAGAAGCTAAAAAGCCTTATCTTATTCTTTGTCAATTTTTTTTTGAATGTTGTTGTCTTATCAGAGTGAAGGGAAATACACAGAGGAAGGATTTCTATATTTTTATAGCCAAGCAATGTACTCATATACTTCCATCACAAACCAACGAATATACCACTATCACTAATATTTTCGTTTAATCTCTTTTTCTCATGTGAAGTTTTAGTTTAACCAGAGTTTGCAAATGCCCTCCTCTTCTCTAACATGGGATGTGTATGGAATGGGTGCTCCTAGTAGTGCCTACTTGACTGTTTGAAGCAATCGGCTACCCTTGGTTATAAGTATCTATGTCTGTAAACTCTAGAGACTAGACCCATTGTTGAGGTGTCCAAGGATGAATGCATTTCTGAGAGTTCACGGGCCAAATTTTCTTGGAAATATAACCTCAGACGGTCTTGTTTCCTGAGAGTTCACTGAGTAAAAGAGCAGATAGAGAAATTGTAGGTCACCCTACCCTACTGCTTAACGTATAGGAACTAGGATCTCCCCTTAGCCTCCCACTTGTACAATGGTTAGTGAACCCATAGGACTCGAAGAATAAATGACAGACATGGTCAAAAACAGACAGAGGATAAGGTAGGGTCGTTGTTTTGGAGTCTAAAAATCGGACGGATGAGAAGGGAACTGAAACCCTAGAAATCTTGGACTTTTTCCCTGTGATAACCAACAAAAAGAATCCAGAGAAAAGATACCGTGGCCTCATGCCGACATCCATCAATTTGGCTTCCAGCTCCGTTTTGAAATTACCCTCGTGTAAGTTTCTTATATAATAACAGGTACTAGACAAGAATGGCAATTTCTCTCGTTTTCAGGCCAACAGATAATACTGATACCCAGCATTTGTTCTTTTCATTTGATGGAATGGAAATATGGATGCATGTTTGGGCCTGAACCTGCTGAGTTGCAATGGGAGGGTAGGCTTGGATGCTTGTCTACGTTGGGCTGTAGCCCTTACTAAATCAAGAGAACAGAATTTGATTAACTAGAAACTTCACTTCTGCTCTTTCAGCTGCCACGTCCAGCTATGACTCTTGAGTCTTTTGAAAGCAGATGTTGTAGAGGATATCTTGCTCAACTTAATCGAGAATACTTTAGTCTGTGGGTGTAGATTAGCCAAAAATAGCTGCTAGATGTTATTTTCTCTAGAGATAACCTTTATGGTTTTGTTGTGCTGTCTTGGGCTTGCATCCTTTGCCAATTTTATTTAGTTTATTTTGTTCAGAAAAAATGTTGTTCTCATTAAATTTAATTTCATAGGGGAAAGATGGAAAAGAATCCTCTCACTTACAAGGAGAAAAGACTTCAATAATAATAAGACTATTTTTCTTTGCCATGCACAACAGTTTTGAATATATTATATAAGAGGATAAACAGATTTCTATAAAGAAACATGTTTCCATTGTTGTAGTTTTGCTTTTTCTTTCTCTTTTTAGAGAAAAATGATACCCCAAAATCTAACACTTCATCCCCCTTCCCTTATTTTCTTAAAGGAAAATAAAGAAACAAAATGGAGGAAAAAATGAAGGTAGGACAAGCTATCTACTACTAAGCTATTTGTACAGTTGACTAGTTTGATTTCTCCTATAGCCTAAGTATATCTATGACTATCCACTAAGTGAGAGTTAACAATGGTGCTAACTCCCTCCCATTGCAGTATTTATTCTTCGAGCCAATCCTGTGGCAGATTTTGGGAAAATGCCTGTCATTCTATTGATTATGTCTTCAAAAGATGGTCGATTTTCTGGTTCACTGCTTGTTTGAACACAACAAAATGGTTAGTTTTTTTATAAGCTTGTAAATGTTCGGAAGTAGTGCACGATTGACATACCTTCGCCAGCAGTCACTGATAATTGATGCTACCTGAGGATCAAGGCCTTCTGGTAGCTCTAATCGTCTATCCATGAAGCCTACAACTCCAACAACCTACATTGTGGTTTTAGTAAGCGTAGAGATTAAGATATCAAAGAGGTTATGTAGTTTTGTGATAAAGAAAATAGAGAAAGCTGTTGTAGTGTTAAGAGGTAAAAGACCTGTAAAGAGTTCAAATTGTTCCACGGAATGGAGACAGTCATTAGTTCCCATAAGATGACTCCGAAACTGAACACATCAGACCTGTTTAGATTGATTTCGGTATTATTTGATGTCCCTCTAGAAGAAAATAAAGAACCAGCTAGAAAAAAAGAAACGGTTTCAAGCAATTACGTTTCATTTGAAGGTTCATTCCTAAGGACTTCTGGGGCCATCCATTGGGGCTGCAATTGGAAAAATATATAAAGAAGTTGAGCAACATTTTGTATGATAAGTAGTTGTTAGACACAAACATTGATGCAAACAAATTCAAAAAATGCAGTGAAGGATATTTCTCGTCACTTTGCTGCTACAAGATCTATTAAAGAAGAAGAAGAAGGGATCATTACTGTTCCTCTCCCAGACTTTGTGGTTAAGAAAGTTCCATTTTTCCACCTTGACAGGCCAAAGTCTGCTACCTAAGACATTATACGAACTGTAATAAGCAGTCTGCAAATGCTCAAACCTGCTTGAACTATTTGAAGGAATTAACCAGTATATGTGCTACCTTGACATTCCAGTTTCTGTCAACAAGGAGGTTGGAAGATTTCAGATCCCTATGCACTATTGGCGGATTCCTATGATGCAAATAATTCATGCCTCTGGCCTGCAGAAAAAGACAAATGTGAGGTTTTATTTCACAGCTAATAAGCAGAGAACCTGGAATGAAGGGAAAGATAGAGAGAACACGCACAACATCAAGGGCCATCTTCATACGCCTTCTAAGGTCCAATGCCTGATTATTCTTGTGAAGTGTTTTGAAAAGGCTTCCCCTGATTACAGAACAAAATAAATATGAGTGGTACATTCATCATGAGGAGCAGCATGCATAGGACCTTTCAAGAAGCTGATCCCTGCAATGTACACAGGTATCAACTATTGGAATGAGTATTGTATAGAACCAATGCTGTGTGTATGTTTAAACACACATTCACCCATACACAGTATTCCTTGCATAAGAAATGGTAGGAAATAGCATAATAGGACACTGAAGGACCATCTGTAGATGGAATAATTAACACAGGATCATTGGTTGAGTACCCCTTAGACAAAATAACACGTCCGTTACCTAGGCAAGTACTCTGTGACAATGGCAAGTCGTTCTTGTGAGTACACTGCTCCCATGAACAACAGTACATTTGGATGTCTCAGTTTCCTCATTATATCAATCTGAAGCGTAAGCAAAAGAATCTAAGGATCAGCTTCATTTCCCACATGATATTGTTTCATTGAAAACTTGAAGAGAATTCGGAGTACCTCTTTTTTGTACTCTAGTAATGTTGACTCTCTGTATTCACCCGCAAAATACACCTTAACGGCAACATCCTTCAGGAAGCAAAAATTTTGCCAGGCTATTAAATACTTTTACATGCTTATTTGGAATAAGAAATTGCAAAACTTGGAAGTGAAAGAACTTACTGATCCATTCCAAATTCCACGATAAACAATTGCATATGAGCCTGAAGGCAAAAGCAAACAAAATGATTTGGTATATTAAAAAAAGTTTAACATGTATGCTATCACTCCTCTGATATTAAAGAAGGCAGCAAATTGATCGCAACCAATAAGCAATTACAGAGTTTATTTAATGACCAACACTTCTTGGAAAAGGCACTTAAAATGGATCTGTAACAAAAAAAATACTGAACTTCATTTAAAAATGTTTGGTTTCATGGAATTGCTGCTAAGCCACATATCCCAAAATTTGTTTAAAACAGAGACCAGAGGCAGTTCTCTTAAATCATGCAAGAATCCATTTCTGTGCTGATCAAACTCTTTTTTCTACTGATGTGCACCAGCATGCAGGGATTTTATGCATGTTATAGCTAAGAAGTTTACCTTGTCCAACCTCCTCCCCCAAATGTAGGTCTTCCCATTGAATCTCACAATCAACAATAGAGTTTGACTCATTATCCCCTTTGCTTGATGAACTCCCTTGGCTGCCTATGCTCTCCCATAAACTTGAGAAGTTTTTTCCGTCTGTATGCTTTTGTACTTCATGTTCCATCTCTGAAGCATACATATTTGGAAACTCTAGCTCCAACTCATTGCCATTTCCTTGGCACGCTAATCCTGCAGTAGAATCTCCTATTCCGGCTAAGCAAAATTGTCCATTGCACTCTTTTGAAGAGGCTACAACATTTTTCTCTTCAACAGATGCTGGACTTGTGTGCTTATGTACACTTGCAATAGCATTTTCAGCTGCAGAGAAAGGATTGAAGTGGTTCGGAGTTGATGCATTTGAATCTCCAAAAGAATTAGGTACATCTGTCGCATCATTCCTTGCCAATCTACTAGTTGGGCCATTCTGCTTAACACTTTCATCATATTCGTTGCTGTGGTTGCTAGTTTCCCTGATGTGCAGTTTTGCCAAGACCTTTGCTGCCTACAGTCATCCCCACAACAAAATTCAGCAAAAATGTCAACAATAGGCAGAAGATATAGACAGTGAGGTACAATAGCTTTAGCATAAAATGAATGCAATCTTCAGTAGGATAGAACACAAAAAGTGTCTACTCCACTGCTTTTTAATAAGTTCAGAAACAATTCAAATTACAATAAAAACAAGCACACACAATTGGAAACAGGGTAAATTCCCTAAAGAATTCTGATTCTTGAACTTTTAAATAATTGCCTAGATGAAATGACATCAATTAATTATATGCAAGAAAATGGAAAAACAACTATGACGTCCCTAAATTTTCATTCAAACACTCAGTTGAAAAAGCTCATAACAAATTAAGGTGAAAGAATGTCAATACAATTTTGGAAGGTTGAGCAAAATTGAATGCATTTTCATCCTTTCGACAGCTTGTTCCTTCAGCTGGGTTGCTCTCTTCATGTGAATTTGTGTAAAGTTTACCTTCCTTTTATAATACAAAGAAAAGCAAAAAGAATAAGTTAGATATCTGCTCATATACAGAACCAGCTGAGATTGCATCTGACAGAACAAAGCCTTACTGCTGTATTAGGTGTCTCTAACTTGGCTTCAGTACTTGTTGCAGCATCCTCTTCGTCCCTTGATTTAGTACCATCCTGTTTGTTGAGTAGAAACCTTAAGGCCTGGGTGTTTCAACAGTGCAAAATGTCAAGCTTTTCAGTAAATGAAAATAGAATCAGGAAAGAAAAGAGAAAGAAAATGCGACAAAGATGTAGCAATGCTATACAAAAGCACCAGATTAGAAACAGATGGTCCACTCTGTGGCCGTGGTGGATGCCACTGGATCGTTTTCATCTTTATTCTCCTTAGTCTACCATGATCCTGGTATGTTCCCAGACTCTCTGAATTTATACCATTAAAAATGGCTGCATCACTTGAGACTGTGATAATACCAGTGAGCTGCCCATCCTCATATAATGGGCTTTTGCTTACCAACGCCATAAACATTTCACCTGACCTCCTCTTCAAGGGGAACTGACCTGACCATGATTTCCCAGAGCTCAATTTCTCCATAATTTTTTTTAAGGGTGTATTGTATTCTGCAGCTATAAGAAGCTCTGTATCTCTTTGTCCAAGGACTTCATTGGACCTCCATCCAAAAAGATTTTCAGCTGAGCGATTCCTGTGGTAACAGAACCCTTTTCTTTGTCAGCTGCACAACTTGAAAGTGATGTGTGATTCAATAAATGATTCAGTAAACAAGCAAAAAAAAATAATCTTCTATCTTAAGGGCAAACTAGTTGAGTATAGTACAGTAACAGTTACTTAATGCCAAAGATACAGATACCAACATTAAGAGCAAACTCGAAGATTCACTTTCTCTGAAACTGAGCATGCCTAAATAATCTCAAATGAGTTGAAGACCTTGGATCTTTGCTTCTATTGCTACAATGTAATTTTAATTTAGTACCAGGAATTAAGCAGACTGAACCTGTTTTTGTAACTTTTGTAATATATCTTGTGAGACAAACAACAAATATAAGTATCAATTACAGTCCTTCCAATTACACTTAACATAAATTGAAGACACTTTTCATTTCAACATTCCTCATGACCAAAGTGCTATCTAATTAGTTTTAAGTTGGATACACATATCTATCAAAGCAGAGAAGAACACAAATCAATTGCACCATAAAACATCTTAGAAAACATTTTGTTATTTATTTTTCACAAAACCTTTCTTGGAAAGATTCCAAACTTCTTCTAAACTTTTGTTTCTAAGATAGAAGGATTGCACTTTCAAATGTTGTGTAAATTGGCATAATCTTACTCTATGCAGCTATCTAACTTCATAATTATTCAATGCTAATGTCGTGAGCTTTTTTGGGGGATATTTTCAATCAACTTCTAAACTTTATCTTTCCTACTTTTGGGGAATGGATAACTAATCATCATTGTATGACATACGGCAAGCTCCTCCACCATTATTAGAACTCATCTGATATAGACACATGTATGTGCAAACACGAAATGGTACCTGCTTATTAATGATCTAGGCAACACTATCCTTCATACAAATGATGCACATCTAGCCTTGCTAATTAACCAACCATTTAAAACCCGGGATAAAAGAGGAAACATAAGTAGTGTAATGTTCTAGTTCAAAAGTGTGTTCATTACGAGTGTGGTGCTCTTCGGACTATCAGTTATAGAAATTCTCACAATTCTGATGACAATTTTGATATGCATGTGGTTCTGATAACTAGTTTGGGAATCTTTGACTAGCAGTTGTAGAAATTAATTCTTAAAATTAATGGATGCCAATTAATTTCCTACTACCTGAACATAAACCAGAGCCATTCATTTTGAAGATGGACTAAACAGGGGTACTTGAACTTCCTCCAAAATAGAAAATTGCAAAGGAAAAAAAAGGGAAGAAAAGAAAAAGAAAACCAGAGTTTGGATGTGAACTTCTATCAAATATCTTAACCATAATTTAGAACGATGCCATTTCAATAAGAATACAAATAAAGAATCCAAAAGAAACTTCACTTTTAAAAGAACCCAATCTAATGCTTCATTTTTCTTTACATTCACATTCTTATAAACTTGACCCAAAGTCAACATATTGCTAGTCCTGAGAGACTACTTCCATTTCAAACATGATTTATACTTTTACTTAACTTAGAACCTTAAAGTTTAACTTCCAATTTTTTACTTAAAAAGATAATGTTTACTACTTTAAAACCAATAGGAGTCATCAAAATGAAACAAAAAACTTTTAAAGTCTACCAACTATCATTGACCTTTAAACTTTCTGCATATATGCGACTGTACATCAAGACAACTACTAATCACCACAAACAAAACTCAATCTTTTTCCAAAAGAAGAAAAACATGGCACCACTCAAATAGTCAATAAAAACATCAAAAAACAATAATTAAGAAAAAAAAGTATATATGTTTTTGCTATACCAAAATGTAATCTTTTCCGAAGAAACTGAGCAGACATGAACAGCATGTCCAATGGACTCCAACACGTTCTTAAAAGGACTCCCCGTCGAGAAGAACCCCGGAAACGTTACGAAACAGGAATATGGCGTGGCATCGCCTGAATCTGACGTCCCCACCACCTCTGTTTTACTTTTATCTTGCTGCACAAGCTCGTCAAACTCTTCCCTCAGCTTAGCATGACTCGCTTCCAAACCCAAGCAACGATCCACTAAGACTCTGTAGCGACTCGCTTCAAAGTCGTCCCCCGCCATTGAATCACTGACCGTGACTCGCCGGAGTTGGATGCAAGTCTGCTGATGCTTCGTTAGCTTTTGATAATTAGTACAAGTTTATTACCAAGGTGGTCGCTTATCGTATTTGTTTTTGGTAATAAAATATTAACTTATTTAATATTTATATGAAGGAATCGTGGGTCAAAGGTTGTCCGCCACGTGTATTGGCCGGCTAGGGGAAGCTATCAAGTGCGGACATGTGTAACGTTGGGAACTCAAAGGCGAATGAGGAAAGGGATTTGATATTTTTAGAAAGGAGTTTCCCATTGGTTAAGGAAACTACCTAGCATTTTGTCTGAAATAACATGACGAAAATGCCCCGAATTTGTGGGCTTAGTTACATGTCTTACCCCTGCCGCCATGGGTTTCAAAGGAAGCAAGTGGGCGGGGTGGGGTTAGGTTGCTTGAACTCAAAACCATTTCCAATTATTTTACATCTTGATGACGTGGATTTAGTCAAATTGTAGAGACGCAATCAGTTACGGTCGGTAGTAAATGAGATTTCTGGTGTTCCTTTTATATTCAAGCCTGATCAATCAGTTGGGAGGCGTCCATCTTGAAACGTGTTGACTACCGGTGGGAAGCCGATGGTCAGAATTACATAATGCCTTCGTTGAACGTGGGATGGAGCATCCGCGGGATTCAACAAGGCGTGAAAGTTATTGACGTTTCCATTTTATAAAGGGACATAATTACGCCAACTGTACTTGCACTAATTTTTCTGATTATTATCATTTCACACTTTTTGTTTAGAGATTTTGGTGCCGGAATTTCACCGTACACACACTCTCAGGCACAAATCTTAAATTAGTGATGACATAAGATTCCACAAGCTAGATGTGTACTGTATACGGTCCCGATCCTATAAAGTAGTAATTGCCTATTTGAATAAACCATCACCACATATTTAGAAGGACTAGTACTTTTGAAACTAATATTTTTACATAATACATTAAATATCAATAAATAAATGTCAACTATCATATTTACTGTGACGACTTTTTAAAAAAAAATTCATGTAAATTTTATCATAAATTATGTATAGAAATAATAAATGTAAGATATATATTGTAACCAAAAAAAATATTATAACTTACATATGCATCTATAAGTTCGCAAATTTGATCAAATTGACAAGTCCAATACTAGGGAAGTTTGGGAAGATTGGACCTTAATAAGTCCTGATGGCCTTAAATTTAAGGCCCACATGATTGGGTCAAATGATTTAACTTTAGGCCCACAAAATAAATCTGGCTGGATCGACTCAATATAACCGGCAACGGCGTCGTTTGAACGCAACACTTAAGGTCGGTTACTGGCAGTTTTAAACCTCCCTGTAAATCCCTCCATACCCGCATTTTGGATTCTGCAAATCTCAACGGGAAAAAAAAAGATTAGTCCTGAAAATGGGACGATCAAAGCGATTTCTCTTCTGCATTTTCAGTCTTCTCTGCCTCCAATACGAAGTCGTTTCAGTCCAGATCCTCTCGAAGTCGAAGCTAGAAAAATGCGAGAAGAGTACGGACTCCAACGACAAACTGAATTGCACCACCAAGATCGTCATCAACATGGCCGTTCCCAGCGGTTCAGTAAGCACTCTTCTTAATTTACTGATTGCGAATTAAGTTTCTCTTAACTTCTGTTAATTACTTTTTTTCTTTCTTTCTTTCTTTTTTTGAAGAGTGGCGGTGAGGCGTCGATGGTGGCGGAAATAGTGGAGGTGGAGGAGAATTCGACGAACAAGATGCAGACGTTACGGATTCCGCCGGTGATAACGATCAACAAATCCGCTGCCTACGCGCTTTACGAGTTAACGTATATTCGAGTATGATCTTTAATGAAAAAAAAAAACAATTTTTCTCCTTTTACATTTTGAATTTTGGGAGGGAAATGGAAAGAAAAGAAAATGGGGAGATGGTCGAGAAATTATCTCCGTTTTTCAAAATTATTATTTTTTCTTTAACGATTTTTTCTTTCAGGACGTTCCTTTTAAACCTCAAGAATTCTATGTTAAGACACGCAAGTGCGAGCCAGATGCTGGTGCTAATGTTGTTAAGATATGTGAGAGGCAAGTACTATCATTTTTGTTCTAATTTTCAGTTGTATTAGGGCTTTTCTAGAAAAACTATAAATATGAAGCATTAAATAATAAATAAAGAGATTGACTGGTTCCTAGTGTCGGTCTCGTAGGCTGCGCGATGAGGATGGTCACATCATTGAGCACACTCAGGTTGCATTCTCAACCTGTTTGATCTCATTTGTTTTCTGAATTGTCACTTTAAAAGAAAAAGTCTTAATTATCAAATTTAATTTATAACTAATATATATATATATATATGTATATTACCGTTAGAAAATTATACATCAACCTTGAAGCCCCTCCTTATTTTCTGATTATAATTTTATTTTCTGCTAACTGTTTCATGTCGTTTTAACATACTGCCTGGTTACCTACCTTTGTTTCTTGCCATGGTGGTTATAGATTTCTCTTGCTAGGTTTTGTCCCATATCTAATGAAATATAGTGTGAAATTTTACTTTGTCATTCCTCTTTGACTAGTTATTTGAATTATTCTTTTACTGAACCTTAGTTTTATTTATTTTCCATCTTCTGCCATTCCTGCTGAAGCCTATCTGCTGTGCTTGTGGGTCTCAAAGGCGTGTACCATCATCTTGTGGAAACATCTGTGAGTGCTTTCTGCTTTTTTCATCATTGTCAAGATTTTCTTTTGAATGCAGAGTTTTGTGGCATCGGATTATCCTCAAATTTATGTTTCATTTCTGCATAGTTGACAAACTGATGAAAGGAAAAGCCAATACAGCACACTGTCTCCGTTTTCCCGGTGATTGGTATGGCCTTTCACTTACCTCTACATCCCTCTTTTGGTTTCTTCTCTTGTGTTTTTTGTGTTGTTATTGTTTTTCTGGGCCAACCATTTTTGTTTAATGACATATTCTAAGAAGACACATTTTGTTGGAGGTTTGTGGATTTAAAATAGGTTTATGGATGTTGTGTTTTTGTAGATGTATAGTGGGAAATGAGTGATTGATAGTTCAAAGTTTAATAAAACGTTTTCAAATTTGAATTTCTTTTTTATGATTTCCTTGCAGTAAAATTTTATAGAAATAATTCTAGATAAGATGAAAATAGAGAAAGATAACTGAAAAGGATTTCTACTTAGATTGGTGAGAACATGGGATGTTAAAGTCCATGATGATGATAGCAATGCAGCACTCTTTTTGCTACAATGTCCCAAAGCTTAATTAAATAAGCAACTGCTGACTTTCCATCTTTTACAGCTTAATTTTTGTAAGTCTTGGAGCATATGTTATAACTAGTAATAATTATTTATCCACTTAGGTTCCATGTTTTTGGTATTGGACAGCGGTCAATTGGATTCAGTGTTAGAATTGAGATGAAGACAGGATCTAAAGTTTCGGTATGTTGTGCACCATATCTTTTTCATTAGATACCTTGATTTAATGTATGTGGTATGCCTTTTTTTTCCTGTAATTGTACGAACTTTTTTTTGGTAATTTGTATATTTTTCTGGATCTGGTTTAAATATATTTAAAGGATAGTGAGAGTACTAAATAAGTGCATTTTGGGGTTGATTGTATATCTTTTTTTTTTTGGATAAGTGTGTTGGTTGCATATTTGTTGGTAGTGTCACATGGTGCTGTTAGAATATGATACCAGTGTGGTACATTATTAGTTTGTATTTTGTTTGCTTCAATATCTTAGTTAAATTGAAGAAAAGGGATGTGAAATTATAGCAACACAAATTTACCTTTCAGAAAAATTATTTATGTTTGCAGGAAGTTGTTGTAGGTCCTGAAAACAGATCAGCAACATCCAATGACAATTTTCTAAGGGTTAATCTCATTGGAGATTTTGTTGGATATTCAAATATTCCTACATTTGAGGACTTCTACCTTGTCATTCCAAGGCAGGTACGCTGGCTTTGCAGATATTGCTATGACTCTTGTGAAGGAGAAAGTTATAAACCTGCTAATAGATTTATTGTAGTCATCTTATCCATTACACTAAGATGGATTTTCCTTGGCAAGAATTGAATGAATTCATACTATCAGGTCATTTGGTTTGTTTTCTTATTTGCTCTTACAATGTAAGGATCATATGTTGTTTACAGCTTAATTATGGCCCAAATAGTCATTGTCTCTGAAATTTTTACAAATATATGAACATTGAACAGTATTTTATGTTTCAAAACATACAAATTTCCATAAATTCTCAGATTGATGAAAGAGCTTGAATTGAAATTCTGAACCTTGTATAAGCATTGCTTGGTTTTCTAAGTTTTATTTTCTTACTGATATGCATTTTTTCAGTAGAAGGTACTAGATTTTTTTTTTTTAAAGATCTACTATTAATCTTATTTTTATACATGCTTGTAATAACTGTTTTCTTGTAATGAGTTCATGTTGAGTATCTACTCCAACTAGCAGCTAATGCTGTTCTTCTGTGTCTTATTTACAAGTCATATTGAAGATGGGAAATTGGCTATAATATGCGTGGAAATGCCTTCTTGGCTATGTTCTTTCAGAAGCTTTTAGCTAATTGCTTACAGAGGCATCTTATCTTCATTTGTTTATTGCGTTTTTGGGGCTTGTTCAGTTATTTTATATTGCCACAACTTTTTTTCTTCCTGAAATGACAGGGTGGTCCAGGTCAGCCAAATGATTTGGGAAGGAATTTTTCTATGTGGCTGCTGCTTGAGAGAGTGAGATTTACCTTAGATGGTGTCGAATGCAACAAAATTGGTGTCAATTATGAGGCTTTCAATGGTCAGCCTAACTTCTGCTCATCACCATTTTGGAGTTGCTTGCATAATCAGTTGTGGAATTTCTGGGAAGTTAGTATATGAACTAAACAGTGATTTTTCTAACTTTTCTGACTAGTTTGGTGTAAGATTTAAAATTATGACTCTTCTGCTGTTTTGCAGTTGACTTCTATTACCAATAGTAAATTTTGTTAGTTTCTTTTGATATTGCAGAAGTTAGTTTCTTTTCCATTGTTTCAAACCATGAAAATATCTGGTTATGCGTACTACATATATGAAGTCACTTTTGGCGATTCGAGCTTAATTAATTATGAAAAACTTCAGAAGTTAATTGAACATTCATTACTTATGTATTTTGTTTTATTTGGGAAGCACTTTTTCCAATTTGTAATTGATGAAACATTCAGTATTGTTGTTGGTTAACTTTGATTAAATTGCTTAATTTCCCTGTTGTTGTCATTGTGAACTAAGAAGGCTCTGCCTCATTGCTGACAGGCTGACCAAAACCGAATTAACAGAAGGCAACTTCCATTATATGGTGTGCAGGGGAGATTTGAAAGGATAAATGAGCATCCAGTTAAGCTTTCACAATTGTAGATTCCTTCCATGCAAGTTTGTCCACAATTTAGGTCATCTAACTTATGGTTTCCATTTAGCTGCAGAATGCAGGGTCTCATTCATTCTCTATTGGAGTGACGGAAGTTATTAACACAAACCTCCTTATAGAACTAAGGGCTGATGACATTGATTATGTTTTTCAAAGGTAAGCCAATCCTCCTATCATTGATATTTATGCAGATTACAGATTTAGATGACTTTAATGCAGTCTTATTATAATTGGTGAATAATTCATCAGGAGCACGGATTTGCATTATTTAACTTGATTACGTCAAGTTTAAAATATTTTGTTTTCTTAGTTGATTCCCTTGTTGCAATGTGGACATATAATACACTTGTAAGGTTCATTTTCAAGATTTGAGATGAAGTAAAACCTTAGATTGCCTTTTAGAACATTGACTGCTGCTTTATTCTTTTATTGGTGCAAAGCATGGGTCTAGCAAATCGTCCACTTGCAGAGAACTGCTGCACTTCTATTTTTTTTTCCTCTTCTTCTAAGAAATTACACTTGTATACAGCTGAAGTAATGATCTTATGTGGAACATACAGAAGTCATTTGAATATTGTGTTTACCGCAAATATTATCTTGCCACTGGTGTAGTAATTTCTCCTCAATTTCCTAGTGTATACAAGAGCTGAGAATGTGGTGTTTGTGTGTGTATGTATTTTTTTTTTCTCAATTTCTTAGGTTGGTAGCATTTTTGGTTCAAAAAACTTCTTGAACTTACATAGACATATCATAGTAGAACAGATTCCTTCATTAATCGTGAAGTGTAGCACTGGTTTATTCTTACCATCTAGGACAAGGTATTAAAGATTGTGATGCTATGTGCTAGTATTTATTCATACACTCAATATATAGATTTTTCGTCTTTTCAAGTGCATCTAGGTAATTATTTCTTTCTTGTACTGGTCACCAAGATGTATTTTAGGATTATTTATGCTAATTGATGTCATTTGTTTCATACCTCAGCAGTCCCTCATCTTAATGCCATGTCTTTTATATATTGAGGTCAATATGACATAGACTTCCTTTTTTTTCACAGAAGTCCTGGAAAAATCATCAGTGTCACAGTTCCGACATTTGAAGCCCTCACTCAGGTTGGAGTTGCCACAATTACTGCTAGGAATACTGGTGAAGTAGAAGCATCATATAGCTTAACGGTACTCAGATCCCTATTTTAGTCATATTCTTCCTAAAGCTTAAATGTTCCTTCCCTGAGGAATGATTGGTAAGTAGATAAGTAAATATGCAGTAGGATGTTTTCTTTAATGTATATGAGCATCTTACGTTGTTAAAACTCTATTACTTTCTAGAATGATTGGTAACAATTTTTAACTCCTTTTAAAAATAAAAAACAATTTTTAACTCTGTACATGAAGTAAGAAGGAAACAGTGTATAAAACTAAGTTAAAAGAGGGAGAAAAAGTTTGATGGAACAAATATGTTAAAATTGTGTAGCTGTTTTTTCAAGAAACTTTATTGCAACAAATTGCTCTACTTTCAGCTGTGATGAATTTTTCCTTATGCAGTTTGACTGCTCAAAAGGTGTCGCCCTTATGGAGGTATTTTCTCAATTTTTTACATATGATGTGTATCTGTTTTCATAATGAAAAAAGGTCATCAATGGTGAGATTGCTGCAGGAACAATTCTTCATTTTGAAGCCAAAAGAAATTTCTGCTCGATCTTTTAAACTTTGTCCAGCAACTGATCAAGCAGCAAAATATGTTTGCACTGGTAAGATTACCTGGAGGTCTTTAAAGCATCTTGTATTCTTTTTACCTTCCCAAATGTTAAGGTCACTGAAATTAACACATTTCACTGAGCACGATTTTGCTTGAAATTTAACGCAGCTATACTGAAGGACTCTGAATTTAATGAAGTTGACAGAGCAGAGTGCCAGTTTAGCACTACAGCTACTGTTCTTGACAATGGATCACAGGTACGATAGTTTTAAGTTTATGAACTGCTTACATGTGGTCACTGCCTTGAGATAGAAGTCTCAGCCAAAAAATATTTGTTCTGAGCAGATTCTGAATTTTCTACATGGAATTCTATAAAAAAGCAATGTGGTATATGTGCATTTCTTCTCTTTTAGTGTGATTTGATAATGAAAACAAAGGTCAAGAATAATGCAAGTAGTTGAAGCATTATAAGGGACACTCTATGTGTTGCATTTGTTGAAAATAGTTACATATCTTTTAGACATTTTCTTCCTTTTCTAAAGTATATCAAGGGGCAAATGAACATAAGGGTCCTAAACAAAAGAGAATTGGCATCGTTTTTCTGTCTATTTGAACTTTGTTAGAAAGCTATATGTGTCAACTTTTAAGAGTGTAATATCTATCACTTTAGAAGATGTAATCTGAGTGCAATGTAGCTCAGAAGTATGAGATCAATGTGTCACTTGTTGCTCTTGATGTATATGGTTAGTAAATACTTAAAACTGTGAATTTGTTTCAGATTACTCCTTTTCAACCACCAAAGACTGGCATAAATGGTTTCTTTGAGTCTATTGAAAGAATTTGGAAAAATATTTGGGAAATTTTGGTTGACTTCATCACTGGCGAAACTTGCAGGTGCATTTGGAAATGACATTTTATGTTTCCAGTTCTGTTTTTTTGAACCTTTAATTATGTAAGCTGCCGTTGCATTAACTATACTTGTTTCCTTTCTCTGTGCAGAAGAAAATGCTCTGCTTTTTTTGACTTCAGCTGTCACATACAGTATATCTGTATGAGTTGGATAGTGTTGTTTGGTTTACTTTTGGCTATATTTCCGACTGGTAAAACCTTCTTTCTGATCCTCACATGCTAGGGAGAATGCAAGAATAAAGTCATATTTCATTGTGTTTTGAATGCAGTTCTTGTGTTGCTATGGCTTTTACATCAGAAAGGAATCTTTGATCCTCTTTATGACTGGTGGGAAGATCATTTTGGGTTTGACGATCAGAGAATCAGAGATTATCACAGGCACAGTATTGGCATTGGCCACTCCCATGTTCATGCTAAAAAACATAATAAAGCTAGGCGACACAAGCATGATTCTCTATATAAACGAAGCAGCATTCACCAGGAGCACAGGCACAACCATTCAGAAAGGGATACTGATTATTATTATTATCTGCATCGTGTTCACAAGGACAAGCACAAACATAGACGTGTCAAAAGTTCTAGCATCAAACAGAAAGTCCACTTGGACAGGAGGAAAAATGATGATGTTGGGCACCACAAGCACAGAAGGGCAATAGAGACTATAGAAAGACCATTGAAATTGAAATAATGGACAGCGAGACAAAAGTTTTGAGTTCAGATATGGGCTGTTGGAGAAGTTGTATGGCCAAAAATTTTCCTTCATCCTTTTTCATTTGAGGAAATGGTGCCACCTGAAAACTCCAATTACAAGAATAAAGCTAGTATTTTAAAAAAAAGGGAAAAAAAACAGTAAAAGCCTGAAAACATTTACAATATTACATGTAAGACCCATATGTCATGTTCTGTTTTAAATTTTTTTTTTTCATTTTTCTCAAGTATATGATGAGATTAGAAAACTTTGTATATGAGCATTCGTAAAACTATGATTTAGTCTTGGTTGGAGACATAGAGAAGTAACTGTTATAATGGCTTCTCTATTTTCTAAATTTTTTTACAATATCAAGGTATTTATAACTGCTATCCACTTCTGCAGTCCAAAAAAAGCAATGCTGACTGGTAAGATGCCAAGTTGGAACATTTGGTGTTTCGCTTTCTTAGCCATGTAGACTGACATGGCTTGACATTAGTCTAGTTTTCTCCATGAGCTGAATGTGAAAGCCATCTGGAAATTGTAAACCTGGAGTTCGGAGTATATTTCCTCCTTTGACTGGTTGCCACCTGAAAAGTTCAAAATTTAGTTGAGTTTCCATTCCTTGCTTTCTATCACCAAGTGTGCTGGGCAGATATAGAACATATTGTAGTTTGTAGCAACATGCTCTTACCTGTACTTTGTAACCAGGCAATGGAGAAACACGGCCATCTGCACTTTAGTGAAGTCCGTTCCCACACAAAATCTCATGCCACCACCAAATGCCATGAAATTCTTAGAGGCTCCATTCATTTCTACTCCCTGCAGTTAAGAAGTAGAAGAATCGTTTAGAGCTTCAAAGTAAAATTTTATATGTGGGTTTGTCTTAGAAGCAATCTTGCAGGCGAATGAGGGTAGAGCTTCCAGTAGTCACCCACCTCCCATCTTGATGGATTGAAGGCCTGCGGATCTTGGTATTTTGCTGGATTCAGGTGCACAGCTGGGGGACAAACCATTACTGCCCAACCGGCTGGAATGGTATATCCTGCATTCATTCCAAATTTTATGTGTTACTTTTTATATTAATTGAATGACTAAAACTTTTTTATAACAATAGGAAAAGGGGTCAGACATTTTTTATGCATACCCTTGAATTGGATTTCTCTTAGTGCTTTTCTGAAGATTCCTGGAACTATATTTGCCAGCCTAACGGTTTCATTGATGAACTGCAAGTTGAACTTGTCAGTATATGGAAATAAACAGCCTAAAGCAAATGATAAATGTCATTAGAAGTATAGAGCATAACTGTCTCACCTGGAATGTATAAGTCATTGATTTGTATTCTTTCCATGTAAGTCCAGAGTCGGGATCTTCACGGTTCCGTAGAATTGTCTCATGCTCTTCCTGTAAGGTGGAAATACTTAACTGTGTGTTTGTTTCGGGAAACAATGAGGATTTTCGCAGATACGGAATTATTAGCTGCAATCATTTCACATACCGTTAACTTTTTCAGCACTGAAGGGTCGTCAGAAAGGAATTTAACGGCTAAAGTTAGAGCCAGGGAAGTTGTTTCAAAGCTGGCAAATAGTAGCACGAACATCAAATCCAGGGCGATTGCCTCTGAGAGAATTGTACCCTCTTTCTGAAGTTCTTCAAGGACATAATCGAAAAAGTCACTTCGGTTCTTCCCGGGCATTGCCCGCCTTTCGTTTAGCAAGTTCTTCAGCATTTTCATGCCATTTCTCCTTCCCTGGATAAAAACTTCGAAGAGTCAAGACACTAGAAGATGGACCCATGGAGGCATATGTTTCTAAATTCAGGGGAGCCCATTTAGTTGCATGGATAAAAGAATTTCCATTCCAACGTACACTTTAAATTAGTGTTAAGTTACATACCCTGATTCTTAATTACCTTGCTATTAATTATGCTCAAGAATGGGAAAATGCTAGTATAAATTGGTAAATAGAAAACATTGTTGTACCTGTAAACATTTGTGATAAGCTGTTCCAGGAATATCCAATGGGAAGGAGATTAATCCTTGTATGAATGCAACAAAATTCTCCCTCAGATTTTCCGAGGAATTGTCTTGGTCATAACTTATCAGTTTTTTGGCTGTCAGATCAAATATCATCTGCAAAAACACCAAGTTTTCATTAAGTCTACTGACCAGGAACTTTACGAGAATGCTCAGTTGAAAGATGAACCATGAATATTGGGTATGTGAAATTACACTAGCAGTTGCTTCTTTTAACTCAACGGTTTCTTGGCTTGACCAGCGTTGCAACCTTCTGCAAGCTGTCCGCTCAACTTCTGGAAGCATCTTCTTAAGGCTTTCGGGACCAAAGAGATTAAGCACCAAGTTCTTTAGGTACTTGTACATGAAGCCATGTAAGGAACCCACATTCTGACGTCCAAAGATCTCTGTAAATGTATCGGGATACCAGCTCTGAAACAGTTGCCCTTCTTGCAGGAAGACGAAATGATTGAGATCCGGGTCGGCTGATACGATTACCGATCGCCCCACTAAGCTAGTCTTGAATATTGGCCCATGCCTGCAAGTAAATAGAGTAGTTAGAATGGAAGGAGAGAAAAAGAAGATTATCATGAGGAAACTGATTGGTTGCACGCCTAGTTTAGCAATAAATGCAATTCATGGCCATTAATTTGACCTTTTCATCCTCTCTTTGACAAAGGGATGGATATCGGAAGTCGTGCTGGGGCCGAAGAACTGAAGAGTCTCGCCGAGAAGTGGGAAGCCCATTGAACCTGGTGGGAGTTTGCCGTTGCATCTTGGGTTTCTCCAGTTGTAAACCCAATGCGTGATGCATATAACAAGCAAAGCTCCAATGACCAATGCCAGCATCTTATGCTCTAAAAGTATATGAATGCAAGCTAACAGAAGATATCCTGGATTGATCAGGAGAAGATTTATGATGCTGATATGTATTTATGGTTTATAAAGAAAAGGGAATGGAAAGGTTGATATTTCCAGAAATGGGAAAGAGTTTCGAGTAGGAAACGTGGGGAGAATAGACAGGTAGGAGAAGAAAGTGCTGGCATGTATCTCACGATTCTCATCAACCTGGAGAAGCTCTACTTAAATAGGAAGGCAATGCTTACAACTGTTCAAGAGAATTAATTATAGTTTCCTGATCACTTTTGTTTTTTCCGAACCAAAGGCTGTAAATAAGTTGTTGGAGATATAATAGACCTAATTTAGAGTTTCTCTGTCTTAAAGAGCTTTTCATTGTCATCATTTTGTCAACGCTTCACCAGTTGAGAGCCTAGCATGACTAGAAGCTAACACGATGCTTCCTATTTCTTTCTCTTTCTTCATCTAGTGGCTGGAATGGTGGATGCATTTTTTTCCAAATTAAGGGTGAAAGAGCCTATAACATGAAAACTGAAGAAGCACGAGGCTGAATTTTAGCCTTTTTTAAGGAGATATTGGAGGAACAGAAAGGCAACTGTAGATTTGAGAGGATCGATGGAGGTTCAAAGGATCATGTCTGACCAAACTTATGTATCTTAAACCAATCTACATTACATCATTAAATACATAAATCTAATGGCTTCTTGCCAACATCTTGAAATTGTCTAAAAATCTATGCTAAATTTTCCCATATCTGTGTGCTAGTGCCCAACACAAGTATACTGTCACATAATAACTTCTAGTTTTCAATTCTTCTCTTCTCGAATCAGATCTGCTCCTAGATCTTCTTTAGCTGTAAATCTCAAACTCATAAATTCTTAAATCCCAATGTCAAAGGTCCACTCTTAATGCATACATCACTAAGATTTCGAATGAAATGTATCTGGATATGCATGCAACTACTGTTATGTCTACTCTTTTGATCATTGCTTGGCAATAAAATTTTGAGACTAGTTAAAGTTAATAAGACTACTGTTCAGGTTAACCAGTTTTCAATACATAGAGCACCGGCCCACCAGGCCATTGAGCCACGGACTGAACCCCATGCAAACAACTACAAATAACAACTACATTTGTAGGTAGCCGGTAGGTTACTGTGAGTTTTTGATCCTCCATTATATGCATTACGCGATTAGATTATGCATTTATCACAACATTTGTCACAATGATACCGGACAAAACTCCGCGTATAGGCCTCAGACAATGGAATTCAGATGAATCTTGGAAACATGGTGTCCTCAAGTTTGTCTGCTTATGAGCTTTTTCTATTAAAATATTGTATGCTAATTTACTTAAACCAGTTTTGCCTGGTTAAAAAATAAGTGATCCAACTACTAGTTTAGTTTCAGCTTTTGACATGTCACTTAATTAAGATTTATCCATAAGACATCTCTTGTCATTAATTGGGGATCGGAGGGGGAAGTCAAGTCACTGAACCTTAGCGGTTTAAAGCTGTAAAGTCCACTGCCAGTGCCAGTACTCTTGCACGTGGAGACGGTGTTATACGAGCTAGTCCTCGTATGGATACCATTCACTTCTTTAATCAACACTTTATGGACTAAATCTTGTTCTTATTAAGTGTAATGGCCCAAGGGAAGATAGATAAGTGTTTTCCATAGCTGTCACGAAATTACGCATTTATGAATACGACGTGGAACGGCCTTAGTTTACACCCCATTCAGGCAAATGAATGCATGGATATCCTCTTCTAATTCTCTCTACTTTCCTGATATATCGAGACACCTTCGAAACCTTTTTCCTTTTGCGGTGATTATTTTTCTTGTAAAAGGGTCTCTCTTTATGCAGAAAAGTTCAAAAATGGCTGAATGAGGGTGACAAAGATTGCGTAACCGCTGAGAATGAGCTTGGAAAGGGTCTGCTATATGGACAAAAAGGGGGAGGGGAGCTGCACAAAATGATAGCTCTTAGCTCTGATATTAGAATTCATAAATTATAAACAAAAAAAGGCTTAATCAATTTGTTAGTATAAAATATTAGTGCAGAAAAAAGGAGCGCTGTGAGGTCAAATATTCTGTTCTGTAGTCGCTTAAGTGAGGTGTTTAATACTAGTAATGATGCTAATAATTAATAATTTGGGGAAAATTCTCAATTGCTGGTAGGAGAGTAGAGCCTCAGAGGGGACCTACCTGTCTTGAAAGTACAGTGCCACAAAATCTTGTTGGTAGGAACCTGCATGCGATGGATTTACAAATAAACAGGATCCTCTACACTTTCCTTCTTCTTTTTTTTTTAATTATTTTCTGGTCCTATGATTGGACGGTCATGATTATTGATCTTGTTGACTTCAAAAATTCTTCATTAGTTGTTGATCTTACCGGTTGGCGCAACATTTGTTCAAGGACGGTGATGATATATGCCCTCTGAATCCAGCTGGGTGTCTCCACAAGATGAATATATCTATCTCTAGGATCCATGGTGCATGTCTCTCTATCTGTTTATAAAAATAAATAAACTCACCCGTTATACATTCAGTTATTCAGAGATGAAGGAATTGGTACATGTTGGTATGGAAGTTTCAAAGTTTGGCAATTGGTGCAGGTGGTTTGTTTTATTTTTGAGTTATCCAAGGAGGGAGAGAATTGGGGAGAAAATTGTTCTTCTTGTCTGTGCCTTTGCGCACGGGGCATGTATTATTAAACTCTTTTCTATTTTCCTCTTTGCTTCAGGCATGAAGCATATCGAGGGACAGCAACTGTAGTCTGCAGTGTTATTAATTCCATTCAAATGACAAAACCCTTCCTGTTAATTTTATTCGCCACTTATCCAAATTAATGTGAAGGAGTAAAAGAATCAAGCTATAGATTCATGGTCCATGGCCATAGAGGGGGGATGGGGTTTCCTTAAATTCTTATAGTTTGCCCCCAAAGTCTCCCAAAGGAAAAACACCGATGCGTGCTGCATATATGGAGGTAGGAGTAGGACCACATGGAGCTGATGATATATATATATGTATATATATACACACACACTTCTCGCACCGTCCAGTTCTTGGAGACTCTAACCTCATGCAAAACGTTAAGCTCTAGGAGTGAAGGCACCTGGAAGAAGAAGATAAACCAAAGCCCCCCACAAGGAAAATCGAAAGAAAGAAGCTTTCTTTCGTGTTCTTGTTCTGACTTAAGATTCAATGTATGTTTCATTACAAAAGAAAATAAAAGTACTCGTCAACTTGTCCCATTTGCTCTCTCCCAGTTATGGTACTAAACTCCAACAACATATTGGCTGGGGAAAAAAAAAAGACCCACTAGTTATATATAGGATAATATTAAAACTTTCAATTTCCTAAGTAACGCGCTGGTAAACACTATGATTTCGAACTGATAATCGTTGACACAGGAACAAAGATGAAAGCATTTGCTGGTACTTCCTATTCCATTATGAAGAAACAATTGTAATATTTGGGTTTGGACCGGATTTGAATAGTAATTTATTACTCGTTTTACTTGATTATTTGTTATCTAAATCTGATTATAGTAATATTTGGATATTTTTAAATATTTAAATCGATATGGATATATGTTGTTTCTTATTATTTATTATAAATTTAATTTCTTATTTATCATGTATTTCTAGCTAGAATATATATTACCCACAAGTGGATGTCTTAGTACATGCATTGTGGCGATTGCTGGATACGGAATTAGGTTAAGTATGCCTTGTAATCTAATTTTTCTTCAATGTGTTAAACTAACATCTAAAGAGAATTAATCAAGCTTATTTTCAACTGTGCAAGAAATTTTTAAGCGTAAGTAAAGTGCGAATTACGGCCGAAAGCATGGCTTAAAATATAATTTAGGGGAAAAACAAAGGTTTCAAACTATATGGAGCCCTAGGATGAGATACCCTAAAGTGATTAACATATATATAATCACAATCAACATAATTAAACTATTAATATCATTCTGAACCATGATTTAATTAGCCCCAAGCCTCTTCGAAATGATTCATTTAAAAGAAAAAAGCAGTAGCAAATTAACAAGTAATTTAATTAAAAGAGACTCCCGTTTACCGGGAATTTGTGGTGGGGATAATATTATCTAATTAATCTGGTGAATCTAGTTAATCATTGTTTAAGCACCTGGTTTTAGCATAAATTGTGACCAAGCTACACTTGATAATTGTGATGTTTTATTCTAAGTTAATTAGTTCTCTGGTCAAAAAGCTACCATCAAATTTAAATAAAACAATTAAACAACGCAAACAGAAGCTTTGCTCCCTGTCCGGCTGCCTTGACTCACAAGGATTGACCTTCAACTAATACCTCTTTACTCTAAACTTACCCTAAAAGAAAATTTTAATTATTTATTAAAAGTTCATGAGAAGATTATAGGCTTGCCACGTTCATATATGTACATGAGACGAAAATTATACAGATGTTAGCTCATGTAACTTGCAATAATTAACTGCTAGTATACAGTAGAATTAATTAATGTATATAACTATAGTTTTCTGTATAAAGAAATGAAAGCCATTGAGCAAAGCAAGGTGTAGAATAGTCATTGGTGACGTGCGAGAAACCCAAAATTCATGACCTGGGAAACATGACCATGGTTGCTTTTTCAATTATGGAGCCTTGCAGAACAATCCAATTCCATGTTCTAATGTTGGTGTGATCTGCAAAACAATATTCTTCAATTCTTGGCTTCTGTTACACTGTAAAGACACATGACCCTTCCCAAACCCTGTAAATGCTGTCACTTGAACTATTGGACCAAACTGGGCTGGCCCAACATCAGTTCCAGGATCTGCATAAGTCCAGGTTGTTGTAACCATGGGCCTTCGAGCTTTATCTTTTCTTTTTTTATTTTGTACAATTTTTTAAAATAAAGATATATGTTTTTATCAATTGTTGAATTAATCGGGATACATGATCCATTATGATATATCTTTGATATATATTGCCAATAACT